GGTTCAGCAGCCGGTGCAGCAGCAGCAGCAGCAGCAGCAGCAGCAATTGCTCCCACAGCAGCAAACCCAGCAGCAGCAGCTACAGCACCAGCAACAGCATCAGCAGCAGCAGCAGCAGCATCAGCAACAGCAATCCCAGCTACAGCCTTTGCACGCACTCCCCATTCCTACCCCCCCAATGGCCCTCTCCACCTACCCTACCACTGAAGACGCCGTTCTAGAAAGAACATCCCCGTTACTAGCCCCTCCAATACAACTACAATCCGAACCAGCATCCGCCCTCTCCAAAGCCCCCCCCTTGCAATCCCTAGGGGACCGGCGCTCCCCCTTGCCCCCAGGCCACTCCCCTTTGCCCCCGGGTCACTCCCCCCTCCTAGTCACAAGAACACCCGGCTCAGAACCCGCCCCGTTAGACCTGGATAACTGTGGAGGGTTGGGTGTGCCGCTGGTGGGGATGCAGTGTGAGGGACTGCCGGTGGGGATGCAGCAGCAGCTGCAGCAGGCGCAGGTGCAGAGTTTGCTGAAGCTGCATATGCAGGCTGCTGAGTCGATTGGGCAGGCGCAGATGGGGGAGAGGAGTGTGGTGGGCAGAGAGGGGCAGGCGAAGGGCCGGGGGGGGGTGGAATGCAGCAGCAGCCGCAGCAGCAACAGCAGCAGCAGCAGATGCAACAACAACAGCAGCAGCAGCAACAACAGCAGCAGGAGGTGCAACAGCAGCTATTTCAGAAAGGGGAAGGTTCGCCTAGCACTTTATCCAAAGGCGTTCTGGGGGGAGTAGATGTGGTTAAGGTGGAAATGGTTGAGATTCAGGATTTGCCCCTGATTCCCCCAGTTGATCTGCAACAACAGCAGCAGCAGCAACAGCAACAACAGCAGCAACAGCAGCAACAGCAGCAGCAACAGCAGCAACAACAGCAGCAGCAGCAGCAGCAGCAGCAGCAGCAGCAGCAACAGCAGCGGCAGCAGCAGCAGCAACAACAGCAGCAGCAACAACAGCAGCAGCAGCAACAGCTGCTACAGCAGCAGCAATATCAGCAGCAGCTGCTGCAGCAGCAGCAGCACTTACAGCAGTTGCAAGCACAGGCACAGCTCCAGGAAAGGCAAAAATTTACAGAACAGCAGCAGCAGCAGCAACAGCAGCAACAGCAGCAGCAGCAGCTGCAGCAGCAACAGCAACAGCAACAGCAAGAGCAACAGCAACAGCAACAGCAACAGCAACAGCAACAGCAATTAGGAGACACAGGGCAGAGGCAGGGAGAAGGGCAGGCACAGTGGACAGCAACCCCTCATGGTGCAGTAGCGGAGGTGAAGGCTGAAGAGTTTCCACATGGGGTTCATGTGAGTGCTAATGGACATGTGAGTGGGCACGGAGCAGGGCTTGGTGGTGGTATGGGGAGTCACGAAGAGGAGGACGAGGAGGAAATGGATGAGATGGATGATGAGGGGGATGAGGAGGAGGAGGAGCATCATCAGGAGCACCATCAGGGTCAGCTGTCCCAGTCCCACCCCCACCACCGCTCGTACCCGCCCCACTTGCTCCTGCACCCGTCACACCCCGCCCACCCATACCAGCAGATGCAGCACCTGCCTCCCAACTTTCCCTATTTCCACCACCCGAGGAATGGAGTCACAGGGCATGCCATGGGCCTGTCGTCTGTCTCCTCTCTTGCCTCCTCCTCCATCCCGACTGCTTCGGCCGCTGCAACTGCTGCTGCTGCTGCCGCGGTTGCTGCTGCTAGTGCTGCTGCGGCTGCAGGTGGTTCGTCTGGTGCTGCCCCCCTCACTGCCACCGCACCTGTTTCTGCTGCTGCTGATGGGGCCACTGCTGGCACTGGCACTGCCGCTGCTGCTGCTGCTGCTGCGGCTGCTGCAGGTGCAGGTGCTACCAATGCTGCTGGCGCCCCACCTCGCTGGAACCCATCTCTCCCCCCCCACGCTCAATCCGTCCCATCCCTGCTCCCACCCTCCGCACCCACCTCTGCTTCCACTCCTGCTGCCAACGGCCCTCCCCCTCCGCAGCCCCTCCCTGGCCTCAGCAACCTCCCTCGCATCACCGGAGTCCCTGCTGCTGCCACCGCGCCCATCCCCCCCGCACCCATCCCAACCACTCTCAACCCCATGCTGCTCCCGCCCTCGCTCCCGACCCTCGACCCTGCTGTCCTAGCCTCGGTTCTAGACTCGGACGCGCGTCAGAGGCACCTTCCCGAGCCTCCAGACACGGACATGCAGGCAATGTTAAAAGCTCTACCGGAGCAGGGGCAGCTGGTGAAGGCTGTATTAGAGGCAGGGCCGCTGCTGCAGCAGCTCCTGGCAGCGGCGCCTATTCCCCCCTGGAGACCCTCCCTGCAACCTGCTGATCACCCTGCTTCCGCTGCTGCTGCGACGGCGGCAGCGGCAGCGGCAGCTGCGGCTGCTGGTGCTGGGGATCCAGGTGTGTTGTTTGTGCGGCAGCAGGAGGCGCGAGGGGAGAGGGAGCAGCAGGAGCATATGCAGGCGACAGGGCAGCAGCAGCACGGCCAGCACCAGCAGCAGCACCACCAGCAGCAGCAGCAGCGGCAGCAGCAGCAGCAGCAGCACAGGGAGGGCAGCAGGGGCAGGCAGGAGGGGGGTCATCCCAGCCAGCATCAGAGCAGCTACCCATACCTGCTGGTGGCCTCCCTCCTTCCATGGCTCCTCTGCCACGTGTCAGGCTCCCATTCGCTCCCACAAGCGCCGTGGCAGCGGCAGCAGCAGCAGCGCTCGGCGCGGGTCCCTCCTCCATCCCCCTCCCTCACCTCACTGCCGCAGCTGCAGCCGCCGCCGCAGCAGCAGCGACTGCCCGACCCCCTGCCTTGCCTGTCCCCGTGCCTGGCTCATTCGGCCCTACTGGCGCTGCTGGTGGTGGTGCAGCAGCAGGTGTGGTGGGACCAGGGGGGCATCCAGCTCTCTTCCAGTCATACGGCCCTCCCATTCTCGCCAACGGCCATCTGCCTCAATCATCCTCCTCGTCTGCTCGACTGAAAGGGGACAACCCAGGGCTGTTGTGAGTGCTCTACGCATAGGAGCAGCGACAGAGAGGCTTTTGAGTTGGCCCAAAGGTCGGCCTGTTGTGACAAGCATCGGTCTAGCATAGCAGCAATGTAGCATAGCCCTAGCCCAACGCGGCAGCAGCCGCAGAAGGCAAAGGAGCAACCGTGGGCACCCTGGGTGGGCGTTACATAGGTACAGAACCTACCGGCACAAGACCATGCCATTGTTTAGCAGTGCACAGCAAGCAGGAGAAGCTCACAGCAGTTGCGGGGATACAGGTTTGTTGTCGCCACGGGTCAACTCTCGCAGCCGTTCATCCAAGGCAAATTGGATCCATTAGTTGAGGCTGTTATTGTGTAGTTTTCTTCTCTGAACCCATCAAGGAGCGGAGGCATTCCATGTGGGCTTCTACATGATGGAATGTCATGGGTGTAAATCAATTGTCGCATTTTCCCAGGTGGAAGGTCTAACCAAGGGCGCAATTAGCGTCGTTCAACAAGACATTTCGAAAATAAGTTTCGAAAAGGCTTGTAAGTCTTAGATGGCGTTACTACATGTTGGATTATGGTAGTTACAATTTTAAGCTTGAAAGCATTTTGAACAATGTTGAACCGTGCCCTGAATGAACGAAAACATCAAAACGACAGGATGTCCTCAGCGCAGTCTCGGCAAGGTGCAACAACCAATGGACGGAGTCGATGCACCTTGAACGTGTGGTTGTTGTTGAGGGGCAGGTTAGGGAAACAAACGAATGAAAATAGGACGTTTGGTAAAGGGCGCGCAGCGAGCAGAAGCAGCGCCTGTTGGGGGGTGGAAATGGGGCACTCAGATGTGAGGAACGTCGCTCAAGATGGTACGCATAGTTTTGCTTCGGTGACGTGAGGTTGGGAGGGTTCTTCGAATCTCGATCCCACTGCGTTCTGCGCTCTCCATTCATACAAACAATGGGCGCGCGGCATTGTGCGCAGTGCGCCACCAGCGCCACAACCTGTACCGGCGGTCAAGGCAATGGCCCCCCAAACCCCAGCCTCCAAAGAGTTGCCCCAGGTGCGGTACAGAAACCCGTCCGCTGACACCATTCATACGCTCCCAACATTGCGGCTGCGCGAGTGCCCGCGCCCGTGCCCGTGCTCGCGCCTGATCTTCTGGCTCCTACTTCTGCTGCCGCCGAAACTCAGGCAGGATTTTTATGCTTTTGAAACTCGTTTACAGAAAGAAATGAACGACCTGTTACCAAAGTTCTTCAATTTCCAATACTTCTTCGAGTTTGTCTCTCGAGGCCGTCATGTCCCTGGACGCAGATTCAAAATGGGATGAGGTTTTGGAACACGCCCCGTCAAGGGGGCTGTTGGTGGAGCGGCGCCTGACGCCCAACTGAGCTTTTGCTGAAAAACCCAGCCCTTGCTACCGGAACCAACCCAAACCATCACGACCAAACTTTATCCCTTTTAGACAAACCCAACCGTTCTGTTCCATGCTGTTATTGTGATGAAATCGAGGATGGAAGGAGCGTCCCACTGCGAAAGAAAAGTCACGTGTGCTGCCTTCCGTTCAGAATGACCACCACCATAGCTCATTCATTAGTCCACTAAAAAATAACTGAAGCTCATTCGTTCGTCTCCCCCAGTCACCTTTCCTCACCAATAGAATCCGCGCTCGACGCCTAGTGCCTATCAATGGGCTGCTCTGACGAGACTATTGTTTGCAGCGCGGTATCTTGGCTCTTAGTCCGTCGTTAAAGCTTTCATTTATGGTGTAGTAGAGCAGAGGGTCAGCAACGGATTCGCGAAAGTGGCGCGTCACGTCGTTGCGCCGCGAGTGGCTTAGATTGTAGAAGTTGCTTTAGATGCGCCAGAAACCTAGTATTCCCTGAAAACAATAGTCGAACTCTGCAGAGGACTTTCTCTGATAATGGCGACGCCGTTTCGTCGTTCGGTTTCCTAATAGTTAATTTAACTCGGTTCGGCAGAATAAGTATTGCGAGGATGACGATGCCGTTTTGCAGAGTGGTTCCTGAGCCATGGAGAACCGTCGATAACGGACCGGATTTAGGGATTGTCGATCTTACGGTCACCGCTCTTGATGGAAAGCTAGATTCGTTAAAGGACGGCCCAGATTCGTCAAGAGACGCACTCGGTAGTGGCCCGAGAGAAGGAACAGTTGTCGCCCAGGCCACGTGTGGGGTTACCACGGCGGACGTTGTAACGGGAGATTGTGTAACGCGGACGGAAGGCGAGCTAGGTTCGGGCAGAAAGAATGTCGAAGAAGGAGAGGCTGGGCAGGATAACGGTTTGCGGTGTATTCCGTCTGGTAGCTCTGATGTGATCGAGTGTAACAGCTCCGATAGTGAGGGTACTCGCAGCGATAGTAACCGCGGTAGCGATAGCAGCGACATTTGCGAACATCCTGGTAACTGCAGCACGAGTAGTCGCGCCGACGCCAACGGCAATGGCGCTGCTGACGGCACAAGCGGCGGCAGTTACGCTAATCATGATGGCGAACTTGATGCTAAGAGCGAGCATGCTCCTAGCGAACCTACTGCGAACGAGTGTATTTCCGGCGAGTCATCGACTAATAGCGAATCCGCCGCTAGCGAGGCCGCTCCTAGCGAGTCAGCGGCGAGCGAGGCGGCCGTTCGGCTGGTGTCGGCAGCTGCGCTGGTGGCGGCGGGAGTGCAAGACGCGGAGGAGGACTCATGCAGCATCTGCCTCGACGCATTCACCGAATCCGAGCCTGCCACCGTGAGTGCCCTTGCCTGAGAATCCCTCCCTCCCGTTTTCACCCATTCCGACTTGACACTCTTGACATGCGGGGATGATATGGGGTGCCGCAAGACGCGGAGGAGGACTCCCGCAGCGTTGCCTGGACGCTTTCACTGAATCCGACCCCGCTACGGTGAATGAACACGCCCTGAGTTAGAAGTATGTTGAGTTGCGTTCTCCCGCTGTGAAATCTAAGCGTCTTCACGCGAGTTGGGCCGTTCACGTGCTCTCACGACGCGGCGCGGCGGAGGAGAATGCGTGCAGGGTCTGCCTGGACGCGTCGCTGAGTGGAAGCGTCGGATGGGGGGAGGGAAAGCGTCGAGGCAAATGCTGCACGAGTCCTTGCTCCTCCTCCTCCTCCTCCTCCTCCTCCTCCTCCTCCTCCTCCTCCTCCTCCCTCCTCCTCCTCCTCCTCCTCCTCCTCCTCCTCCTCCTCCTCCTCCTCCTCCTCCTCCTCCTCCTCCTCCTCCTCCTCCTCCTCGTCTTGGGAGCACATGAAGAACGACTTTTGAGTCGACACAGAAGTCACCTCGTTACAATGGCACATGACACACCTCGCTTTTAAGAGTGACTCCAGCCCATCCTTACATGCCTAGCATCAAGTGCTGCGCGTGCGAGTGTGACGGAAGGCGGGCGGCGGACTCCACTCCAGGCCACGTGACCTCTCTATCTCAGGGCGTATTCACTAACACGGCCCAACCGAACCGAGCTTCGCATGTAAGAAGGGCATGGCACGGCAAGGAAGGACTGAACGCGAATGCGCCGAACCCAAGCTGGAGGTTCGGCGCATTTGCGTGCGCGTACAGCAGGTGGGGCGTGTCGTTATGGAGGAGGAGGGCTGGCTGGGTTCGACAAGGTCGAGGGTGCGCGAGTGCGTCTGGTGGTGCCTGCCTGGGGTAGTGTGTGAGCTTGAAGCGCAACAAGGAAGTGTGCACACTTACCTACAAGATGACTGCGCTTCTCCACGCATAGCTTACCACTTCCCAGCGCAAGTGTATTGCCTCTTGCCTCTTGCAAGTTTGTTTTCACCTCTCCCTTCCGTTTCTTTCAACCGTTCACCACACACTCCCTCTCAACTCCCTTTCCGCATCCTCCTCGCCCTGCTTTTTCCCCTCACCACGACTACCATTTCCAGTGCCTCTGCTCGCTCGCCGCCCCTTGCCCCTCATCTCATTCCCTTTCACACTTTCGCCTGTGTGCGTGTGTGCCTGCTCCCGCGTGTGCTGCCACTACCAGCTCACAGTATGCAACCACGAGTACCATTTCCAGTGCGTCCTCGAATGGTAAGCACCTGCCTTCCGTTCCCCCCTTCTCTCCATTCACCCTTGCTCCCCCTACCCCTCTGCTCCCGTTTCACCGTGCTCCCTCCTGCCGTGCTCCTTTTGCGCTCTTGCGCCATTTTTTTCATGCTCCCTGCCACATTTGCTCCCTGCCACATTTGCTCCCTGCCACATTTGCTCCCTTCCCCCAAGTTGAACTCCTCTTTCATTGCTTTCAACTGCCTGTCTCCTCTCTTTCTCCCTCCCCCCATGCTCCTTCCCCCCATGCTCCTTCCCCCCGTGCTCCTTCCCCCCATGCTTCTTCCCCCCATGCTCCTTCCCCCCATGCTCCTTCCCCCCGTGCTCCTTCCCCCCGTGCTCCTTCCCCCCATGCTCCTTCCCCCCATGCTCCTTCCCCCCATGCTCCTTCCCCCCATGCTCCTTCCCCCCATGCTCCTTCCCCCCATGCTCCTTCCCCTTATGCTTCTTTCGCCCCATGCTCCTTCCCCCCATGCTCCTTCCCCCCATGCTCCTTCCCCCCATGCTCCTTCCCCCCATGCTCCTTCCCCCCATGCTCCTTCCCCCCATGCTCCTTCCCCTTATGCTCCTTTCGCCCCATGCTCCTTCCCCCCATGCTCCTTCCCCCCATGCTCCTTCCCCCCATGCTCCTTCCCCCCATGCTCCTTCCCCCCATGCTCCTTCCCCCCATGCTCCTTCCCCCCATGCTCCTTCCCCCCATGCTCCTTCCCCCCATGCTCCTTCCCCCCATGCTCCTTCCCCCCATGCTCCTTCCCCCCATGCTCCTTCCCCCCATGCTCCTTCCCCCCATGCTCCTTCCCCTTATGCTCCTTTCGCCCCGTGCTCCCCTTCCCCCGTGCTCCCGATCCCCCATGGTCTCACGCTCCCCATTCCCCAGGGCCCAGCGACGCGAGGAGTGCCCCATCTGCTGGCGCAAGCTGGCACTGCCGTTGCCCCTTTGCTCCCCCCTCCCCCTTGATCCTTCCCCCTTTGCTCCCCCCTCCCCCTTGATCCTTCCCCCTTTGCTCCCACCTACCCCCTGCGCCGTCACCCCCCCCTACTCCCCATTCCCCAGGGCACAGCGTCGAGAGGAGTGCCCCATGTGCTGGCGTAAGCTGGCACTGCAAGATGAAACGTGGTACGTGCTAGATGAAACAAGGTACTGCAAGATGAAACCTGGTACGTGCAAGATGAAACCTGGGCCGGGCTGTTCTGTCAGGGGTTGCAGGGTAAGAGCTCAAAACAGCTGCAGAGTGCGCGTCATCCACCTAAGCCCTTCTTAATCCACCTCTTATCAGCTTATCATATCCTTCGTGACCCTCCTAAGCCCTTTCTAATCCACCTCTTTTGTGTGTGTCACTGTCACATGTGTCTCCTTCCTTTTGCTTTCTCTCCCCCTTCCCAGTCAGGAGCTGCTGCTCGCGTGCTACAGGGAGAAGGAAATCGGAGAAGCAGAGGAGCGGGATTGCTGAAGCTCTTCCTGACCCATGTCTTTCTCTTGTGCCACTGTTGCTTGTACCGTCTTCCCATCACCTTCCCAGTCAGGAGCTGCTACTGGCGTGCTACAGGGAGATGGAAATCCGAGAAGCAGAGCAATGCGCTGGTAACAACAATCTAACCCCTATTGATTGCAAAGTTCCACCCTTTTCTCTATTGCTGGTCCGTCTGGTTCTCCTGCCTGCAGTCAGGAGCTGCTACTGGCGTGCTACAGGGAGAAGGAAATCCGAGAAGCAGAGGAGCGGGCCGCAGCAGCAGCAGCAGCAGCAGCTGCAATCGCAGCATCAGTGGTCTCAGTGCGGGGAGCGGCAGGACCGGGAGCAGCAAGCCGGGGAGAGGCAGCAAGGGGAGTGATGGTTGTAGCTCTTCCTGACCTGCCTGTTTCACGTGTGCTGCCTTCCCTTCCCCAACCCAGTCAGGAGCTGCTGCTCGCGTGCTACAGGGAGAAGGAAATCCGAGAAGCAGAGGAGCGGGCCGCAGCAGCAGCAGCAGCCGCAGCAATCGCAGCATCAGTGGTCTCAGTGCGGGGAGCGGCAGGACCGGGAGCAGCAAGCCGGGGAGAGGCAGCAAGGGGAGTGATGGTTGCAGCTCTTCCTGACCTGCCTGTTTCACGTGTGCTGCCTTCCCTTCCCCATCCCAGTCAGGAGCTGCTGCTCGCGTGCTACAGGGAGAAGGAAATCCGAGAAGCAGAGGAGCGGGCCGCAGCAGCAGCAGCAGCCGCAGCAATCGCAGCATCAGTGGTCTCAGTGCGGGGAGCGGCAGGACCGGGAGCAGCAAGCCGGGGAGAGGCAGCAAGGGGAGTGATGGTTGTAGCTCTTCCTGACCTGCCTGTTTCACGTGTGCTGCCTTCCCTTCCCCATCCCAGTCAGGAGCTGCTGCTCGCGTGCTACAGGGAGAAGGAAATCCGAGAAGCAGAGGAGCGGGCCGCAGCAGCAGCAGCAGCCGCTGCAATCGCAGCATCAGTGGTCTCAGTGCGGGGAGCGGCAGGCCGGGGGGCAGCAAGCCGGGGAGTGGCAGCAAGGGGAGTGGCTGTGAGGGGGCAGGCAAGGCGGGGAGCTCAGCCCATGGGCACAGGAGGGTCGTCCTCCTCGTCGCCCTCTTCTATTCCTGCTCCCTCGCGCCATCGCCAGAGGGAGCAGCGGGAGCAGCGACAGAGCAGCAGTCAGGTATGTCTTTGGGTAGGCAAGAGGCGAGGCGGGGGGCTCAGCCCATGGGGACAGGGGGTTCCTCCTCCTCGCCCTCCTCCATCCCTGCTCCCTCCCGCCATCGCCAGCAACAGCAGCAGCGGGAGCAGCGGCAAGGCAGCAGCCAGGTATGTTTGTGAAATTCAGTGGGTGGGCTAGGGGGGTGGCTGTGAGAGGGTAGGCAAGGCAGGGGGCTCAGCCCATGGGTCTTCGTCTTCCTCCTCGTCCTCCTCCATTCCTGCTCCTTCCCGCCATCGCCAGCAGCAGCAGCGGGAGCAGCGGCAGAGCAGCAATCAGGTATGTCTGTGGGTAGGCAACAGGCAAGGCGGGGGGCTCAGCCCATGGGCACAGGGGGGTCGACTTCCTCCTCGCCCTCCTCTATTCCTGCTCCCTCCCGCCATCGCCAGCAGCAGCAGCGGGAGCAGCGGCAGGGCAGCAGTCAGGTATGTTTTTGAAGCAAAACGAGTGGCAGCAAAGGGAATGGCAGTGAGGGGAGTGGTCGTGAGAGGGCAGGCAAGGCGGGGAGCTCAGCCGATGGGCACAGGGGCCTCTTCGTCCTCCTCCTCGCCCTCCTCCATTCCTGCTCCCTCCCGCCATCGCCAGCAGCAGCAGCGGGAGCTGCGGCACAGCAACAGTCAGGTAAGTTTGTGGGTAGGCGTGCAATTTAGAGGGTGGGTTTGAAGCAAAAAGTGTGGCAGCAAGGGGAGTGGCAGTGAGGGGGCAGGCGAAGCGGGTGTGGGTGCGGGTGTGGGCGAGAGGTGGTGTGAGTGTGGGTGTGGGTGTGGGTGTGGGTGTGGGTGTGGGTGTGGGTGTGGGTGTGGGTGTGGGTGCGGGAATGGATGAGAGGTGGTGTGTGTGTGGGTGCAGGTAAGAGGTGGTGTGGTGGGTGCAGGTGAGAGGGGGTGTGGTGGGTACAGGTGAGAAGGATGCGCATGTGAGTGAGAGGGTGTGGCGTCGAGACAGGGCCAAGGATAGGCGACCTTCCTCCATTCTATCCTTGCTCCATCCCTGCTCCATCCCTGCTCCATCCCTATGTTGCAAAATACGCGTATGGCGTACGGAACGCGTACGAACTATACGGTATCGTACATACGCGATACGCAAATTTCCAGCGTACAAAAAACCTCGAAATACGGTGCGTCGGGCAGGTTGAAATTTTCTAGGGCAGGGAAAAAACATTTCAGTTGAGGTAGAATGCTTATAGGGAAAGAACTTCAGCAATACTTGATGCGGATAACTCCCGTGGGGTTTTCGCCAGTACGAAATTGTTGGCTAGAATCGTCCTAATATTGCGGTTGCTAAAATCTGCAAGTGACGCGACGCCGCTGCTAGCAATAGCAGTAAACTTGGAGTGAGCTTCGCTGTTGTACTCACGCCGACTGGCGAGCAGCTTGTAAGGGAAGGTTGGGTTTGGGAGGTGGTGTGAGGTGATGTGCGGTGGAGGGGAGGGGAGGGGGGCATTCGAGTTTCGAATCTCAAAATTAGGTTTCACAGAATTGCAGATCGCGGAATCAGCGGCAACAGATTTTTTTCTCTTTTTTTTTTTTCGCCTGCCCGGATTTACGTATCGCGTATTTGTCCCCGTTTCACGTTTTCACGTTTATACGTGAACGCATATACGTGAAACGTAAAATTTCCTAAGCGTATAGTGCAACATAGCTCCATCCCTGCTCCATCCCTGCTCCATCCCTGCTCCATCCCTGCTCCATCCCTGCTCCATCCCTGCTCCATCCCTGCTCCATCCCTGCTCCATCCCTGCTCCATCCCTGCTCCATCCCTGCTCCATCCCTGCTCCATCCCTGCTCCATCCCTGCTCCATCCCTGCTCAATCCCTGCTCCATCCCTGCTCCATCCCTGCTCCATCCCTGCTCCATCCCTGCTCCATCCCTGCTCCATCCCTGCTCCATCCCTGCTCCATCCCTGCTCCATCCCTGCTCCATCCCTGCTCCATCCCTGCTCCATCCCTGCTCCATCCCTGCTCCATCCCTGCTCCATCCCTGCTCCATCCCTGCTCCATCCCTTCTCCATCCCTGCTCCATCCCTTCTCCATTCCGCCATGTGACTTTTGAGATGTCTTCTGAGACGTCTCAAAAGCCTGCAGGAAGTTCTCAAAAGTCTTTTTTTTTTTTTTTTCGAGTTCTCAAAAGTCTTTTTTTTTTTTTTTCGCCTTCTCAAAAACTCCCTGCAACCTGAAGAGACGTCGTCTGAGACGTCTCAGAAGTCTGCTTCTCCATCCCGCCATGTGCTCCAGGCCTCCCTCCACTCCTTAACCCGCCTCTCTCCCTTTCACCTTGCATCTCTCTCTACCCCACCCACACCCCCACACCTTCCTCTCCCCTCCCCATTGCAGGCCACGGTCACATCAGGCACGCCTGTAGACTGCTGGCTGCCCTCGTCGCTCCTCTCCTCTGCTTCCTTCCTCTTGCACACATGCGCGCTCTCTGCTCCGCATACTCTCCACTTCTTCCTCCTTCCTTCGCTTCCCTCCCACCCTTTTTCCCATCCTTCCGCCCTTCCAGTCTACAGTCACATCAGGCTCGCCTGTTGACTGCTGGCTGCCCTCCTCCCTCCTCTCTTTCCATTGCTTTACACCCATGCTCACTCTCCCTCTCTCTCTCTCTGCACCCCCTCCCATCCCCACCCCGTCTCTCTCCCCTCCTCTCCCCTCCCCCCTGCAGGCCACAGTCACATCAGGCTCGCCTGTTGATCTCTGGTTGGTCCCAACCCTCCTCACTTCCCACCGCCATACACCCATACTCACTCTCCCTGTCCCTGCCCTTTCTACCCTTTCCTCCCACTCCCCCCCTCTCTCCCCCATAACCAATTCTCCCACACCCCCCTTTTCCCTTCCAGTCTTCAGTTACATCGGGTTCGCCTGTCGATCGTTGGTTACCCTCCTCCCTCCTCTCTTCCCTCCGCCACGCAACCTCCTCCTCTTCCTCCTCTCGTGGTCTCTCCGGCTCCTCCCCCCGCTCCTTCGCCCTCTCCTTCAGTCCTCACAGACACCGCTCCTCACGCTCCGCCTCCCCTTCCTCCTCCTCTACTATCCCCACCACCACTACCACCACCACTGCCACCTCCTCTTCATCCTCGTCCTCCTCCTCTTCCTCTTCTGCCTCTCTTTCAGCAGCACTCGCCTCTTCCTCTTCTCTATCCGCCTCTGCATCTGCCCTGTCAGCCGCATCACCATCCACTGCTGCTGATGCCACGCTCTCTGCTTCTACCTCTGCTTCTACCTCTACTGCTGCTGCTACCTCTGCTGCTGCTGCCACCTCCTCTGCTGCTGCTGGTACTGCCGTTGCCACCGCCTGTCCCTTCACCTCTCCCCCCATCCCTTGCTACCGCCCTGACCCATCCGTTCTCGCAGCAGAGGCAGCATGCTCCCCGCCCACCTTCTCCCTCTCGCCCATGCGCCCACGCCCACCCTCCGCCCTCTCCTTCTACCCACCTGGTACCTCGTCTTCAGGAGAAAACAACAGAGGTTTCAGCCTGTCGGCAGGTGCTCTCCCTTTGGATACCCCTCTAGGAGCCACAGTCAGCTGGAATGGGGTGCTCCCATCATCTTCTAGTTTCGAGACAGAAACGCCCCCTCACAGCAGGAACGGGGTTCTTCGTACCGCATCTAACCTGGCAGCATCTACTCTTCCTCCCACTCTTCCCCCTCCTTCCTCTGCATCAGCCGCAGCAGCTGTTAGTCATATGACCTCTGCACTATCAGAAAGTGCGTCTATGAGTGCGTCTCTCTCTTGCCTGCTAGCAAAACAACAGCAGGAGCAGCAGCGGCTGTTGCTGGAGCAGCGTAGGCAGCAGCAGCTGCTGCAGGCTCAGCAGGAGCGACAAGGGGAAGCTTCAGTTGCTACAGATGCTGTTGGTTTAATAGGTGTAGCTGATGCTACAGGTGTTGCTGCTGCGACAGATACTGCTGCTGCTACGAACGCTGCTGTTGCTACTAGTTCGGCTGCCGCCAGTGGTGAGGTTGCTGCTGTTGTTATCCCCAGTGCATCTGATGACAGGCTCGGCTCTGATCCCCAGGCCTCATCTAGCCTCGGATCAACGTCCCGAGCTTCCTCCTCTAGGTTCGGCGGTGAAGGGCAGGAAGGGCTGAAGCTGGTGCTGTCAGGTTCGGAGGGGCAGGGAACGGCTGGGGGGATGTTTCAGGGGGTGGGGGGTGGTGCGATCGTGACAGCAGTGGGTGGTCAGAGCGTGAGGGCAGCTGGGCTGGCACCTCCTTTTGTTGGGGAGGCTGCTGCTACAGGTGCTGATGGTGCTACAGTCGATGCTGCTACAGTCGATGCTGCTACAGCCGATGCTGCTACAGCCGATGCTGCTACAGCCGATGCTGCTACAGCCGATGCTGCTACAGCCGATGCTGCTACAGCCGATGCTGCTACAGCCGATGCTGCTACAGCCGATGCTGCTACAGCTGATGATGCTACACCTGTTGCTGCTACAGCTGATGTTGTCACACCTGTTGCTGGGTTGGCACCTCCTTTCATCGGGGAAGCAACTGTTACAACTTCTGCTGCTGCTACAGGCGCTGCTGCTACGGCTAATGCCGCATGTGAGGGCAGTTCCAGCGTTGTTGCTCCCACTGCTGCTGGGTTGGCACCTCCTTTCATCGGGGAAGAGGCTGCTACAATTCCTGCTGCTACAGCCACTGCTGCTACAGCCACTGCTGCTACAGCCGCTGACATATGTGGTAGTGGTGGCAGCACTATTGGGAGCATTGTTACGGGTGCACCTCCTTTTATTGGGGCAGACGCTGTCACAACCTCTGCTACAGCTACTGGTACTGCTACAGGCCCTGCTACAGGCCCTGCCACTACAGACCTTGCTGCTTCATCTGTTGCTGCTACAACCCCTGCTGCAGCTGCTACTACATCTACCACGGCAAGCACTCGTGGGCAGGCTGAAGAGAGACCGAGTGGGGGTGGCAGCGGCAACAGTGGTGGGGGCAGCAGTGGCAGCGGTGGTGGTGGCGTTGCTGTGGCAGGCGCAGCTGCGGGGCAGGGGAATCACCTGACGGATGCTGCTCCTTCTTCCAGGTATGTGGCAGATAATAATGAAGTGGATGATGTGATGCTCGTGTCGAATCGCCTCTGTCTTCTTGTCTACCTATCAGGCGATAGTGGATGCTGCTCTTTCGTCCAGGCGATTCCTCCTTCTGAGGCGCCTCGAAAGTCGTATCCTTCCTCTAGGCGATTCTTCCCTTCCACCCTCCTGCCCACCTTCCCCTACGTTCTCCTTCCGCCACCCTCGCTCCTGGTCCTCCCTCCCCTCCCGTCCCTCCCCCTCCCCATCCTCTCTCTCAGCTCTATGGACGATCGCGTTCCGCCTTTCCCCCCCCCCGTCCCCTCCCCATCCTCTCTCTCAGCACTATGGACATCGCATTCTGCCTTTCCCCCAGGGTTGCCAGCCCCACTCCATACTCTTAACTTGCGCGCCTTCCCCCTTGTTCCCCCCCCCGTCCCCTCCCCATTCTCTTCACTTGCGCGCCTTCCCCCTTGTTTCCCCCCCCCGTCCCCTCCCCATTCTCTTCTCTTGCGCGCCTTCCCCCTTGTTTCCTCCCCCGTCCCCTCCCCATTCTCTTCTCTTGCGCGCCTTCCCCCTTACACCCTCTCCCTCCTTTCCCTCCCCCCTCCCATTTTCTGTCCTTCAACAGCTCTATGGAGGATCGTATCCCCCCTTTCCCCCGGGGCTGCCAGCTGCATCCCATCGCTTCTTCTTGCAAGCCTTCTCACTCGCTCTATTTCCATCCTTCCTCCCCGCTCTCTCACCTCTATGGTCGATCGCGTTCCCCCTTTCCCTCGGGGCTGCCAGCCTCACTCCATTCTCTTCTCTTGCACGCCTTCCCCTTTGTTTCCCCCCCCTTCCCCTCCCTATCCTCTTCTCTTGCACGCCTTCCCCCTTGTTTCCCCCCCACCCCTTCCCCTCCCCATCATCTCTCTCAGCCCAATGGACGATCGCATCCCCCCTTTCCCCCGGGGCTGCCAACCTCATGGCCTCCTCTCCTCCCTCAAATCTCGCCTCACCTCTCGGTACGTCTCCTTCCCTCCCCACTCCCACTCGGGTACTTTCCTTCCTCCCATCCACCCTATCCTCTCCACCTCCCTCCTCACGCAAGCAAGCCATTCTTGTGGCCTCCTCTCACGTCTCGCTCCTCTCTTAACCACCATTGGCCCTGCAATTTTCCAACTACCCTTCACATGACACCAACGGAGTTTCTCCCTGTCCGTATTCCTCCCTTCACATGGCCGTATTCCTCCCTTCCCCCTTCTCCCTCTCCCTTCTTCCCTCTCCTCTTCTCCCATCTTCCCACCCCCCGTGTCCCCGCCTATCCCAGGTGGTCCAAGGGCTCTTCCTCCTCTTCTTCTTCCTCGTCCTCCTCTCCACTAGCCACACTCCGTCACTAAAGCTGATAGTCTTCCCTCTCCACTCCCATCTCCCACCCCCCATCTCCCCCATCCCTTCGTGTCCCCGTGTATCCCAGGTGGTCCAAGGGCTCTTCCTCCTCTTCCGCCCAACCATCAGCCACACTCCGTCACAGAAGCTGACAGCCACATCAGTTCACTTGGTGAGCTGGGTTGTTGAAGGGCGAGGGGAGAGGAGAGTGTGTGACAGGGCTAAGTATGGAATCAAGCAAGCAATCAAGTCTGCGTGGTGACAATGGGGGTGGAACCTGGGCCGGGCCATTGGAGGGGAGAGAAGAGTGTCAGACGGAGAGGAGGGTGTGTGACAGGACAAGCGGTGCAAGGAAGCAATCAAGTCTGGGTGGTGACAATGGGGCTGGAACCTGGGCTGGGCCTGGCTGTTAGGTGAAACTGGTCAAACAGGAGGGGAAGGCGGGGAAACTGGTAGCCAGAGACGGGAGCAAGTAGCTGGGATCAATTCACCTTGTGAGCGCATTGCTGGAGTGAAGGGGATGGGAAGGTGAATGGGAGGGAAGGATGATTGGGCATTTAAACGAAGTGCATTGAAAGTAGCTGGGTTTATCTCGGCTCGTGAGCCAATTGCTTGCTGGAGTGAGTGGAATGAGGGACGGCAAACCAAGGAGGGGAAGGAGAGAGGCTTTGAGGTGGAAGGCAGGGTGAACGGGATGGAGTCTCAATGGAGTGCTGGGACGATTTTTGAGGCGCCTCAAAAATTGGAAGGAGAAAGGCTTTGAGGTGTGGAAGGTAGGGTGAACGGGATGGAGTCTCAGTGGAGTGCTGGGTAACCCAGCCTGGGTTCACCTCACCTCGTGAGCCCATGGATGGAGTGAATTGGATGGGGAAAGGGCGGCGGCATCATGGCAAGGAACTGGGTTGGTTGAGTTGATTTGAGAGGGTAAGCTGGGAATGCGTGAGGCAGAAGGAAAGATGAATGGACGTTTCAAGGCTTTTCAAGAGGGTGGGACGAGGTTCGGAGAAGCGAAAGGGAAGGGATGAGAGAAAGTGGAGAGATGGTGGAGTAAGAGTTTGAGCTATGCTTGGAGTTGAGAGGGTGGGAAGAGGTAGAAAGAGGTGGAAAGAGGTGGAAGCAGAGAGGTCAGTGCAGAGAAGGCTTGTAGTCTGTTGGGCGCAAAACCCCCCTGTTCCCATCCCAACCTGATGTGCATTTAATTTACTAGATTACCCTAGAGTGTGTTGTGTTGGAGCTTGAACAACTGGTGCCATAAAAAAACAGCAGGAATAATCTGGCAGTGTGTTGGTTGGATGTGTAGCTTTGAATTGGATTGGGTTGTGTGTTTGAAGTGGGCTGTGTGTCTGTAGAGTGCAACAGCAGTACGCCCTTTGATGTACGTTAAATGCTCCATAATAAAGCTACCGTCATCGCCCGGATATAAGACATATATGTCTTATCTCGTACACGGGCAAAAATGCTTGAGTTATCTTGTAAACGGGATGGTTTAGGGTGTCTTATAAATCTTATAAATGGACAAAGAACCGTTTAGAAGATACCCCCTCGCTATACATTTGCCCCTAACTCCTACACTTTCTTAACCCGTACACACAAATAGGTGTCTTATAATGAGGCTAGCCTGTTTATAAGAGACACCCGTATAATAGACAACCCCTGTCTACTATTCAACACTGTCTTATATCCGGGTGATGACGGTAGGTATGTTTGATCTGTTATTGGATAGTCATGGCAGAGTGAGCTGTGGCGTGCAGCCTGTGCTGTGTTCACTAATTAAAATGCTGTAGTGTAGAGATACACGCATTATGCATGACATAAAATGGAAATACACGAAATGAATGATAAGCTATCGGACCCACTCATGCTGGTCATCAGCAGCTGACTGATAGCACGCACAGCAAGGTCACCCTGAGACAGAGACCCATGTCTTGTGTGTGGATATCAACGCGGACAGCAACCCACACGCAGCCAGAAGCGCGGGATTTCCCAAAGGGCTGTTCCCATCGGAATCTTCTAGAATGTCATGCAGAGCCAGGAGGGCGTCTGATAGGTCCTGGATGAGAGCCAACGTCTTCAGTAGCCGCTTGAATTGGAGAGCTTTCAGAAGCTTCCTTGCAGCCTCCTCTGATGATGACGTCATGTCCATGCTGCTGCTACCAGCTTGATCAGGCGATTGGCAGGATCCACCATTGGAGTATGGCATTGGCTGTATTCTGATCTGCAATGAAGCTGATCGCTCTTTGTGCAAGAGGGTGGTTATCTCCATGGATTTCAAGGCTACACTTCCGAAATACCCTACGAACTCCGCCCATGCGCTGATCTTCTGGAGCTGCCTCGAGTGCTTCTTGTCCAAGGCGCCGGCCTTGACCTGCCAAGCAAATTATGGGGAAAACAGAAGAAGAGTAGAATCATTCAAGCTCCGGTTTTGTTTTCAATTACATTCATCATTCTTAGACTAGGTCAGTCTGTTTAATAACACCAAGTAAACAATGTACAAGTGCAAATAAACTCGCCATAAGACGACTTAAAACGAATGTATGATCAAAGTCCATTCCACCTACCAGCCATACGAGCTGCTCCATGAAGTAGTACACCCCCTTGCCACCATTCGCCACAAGCTCCAGGAACTCGTTTTAGGACGCCTCAACACAAATGTATTATGAAAAACCATTCCACCTACCAGCCACACGAGCTGCTCGACGAAGTAATAAACTCCCTCGCCGCCGCTCGCGACGAGCTCCAGAAACCCCTCGGCGCTGCTGAACGGCGGAGCCTTCCTCAGCGCATCCACGTCCTGCAAGAACTTTCCCACGCGCAGCGCCTTCCGACTCGCTCCCACGCTCGACTCGAAGCTCTTGAGCCGTCGCACGGTTTCTGACTGAGAGCTGGAGCCGGCTGTTTGACCGGCGTGCGGTTTTAAGGCGACGGCGAGGAGGAGCTTGACGGAGTACCGGCATATTTTCAGCACTTTGTCGGTGCCGTCCCGCTTTTGGAGGAACGCGACGGCTGTGTCGAGGACATCGTGGGAGTGCTTCGACATTGTCGTGTGTTGATGATTCTGGTCCAACAATGCGGGTACCGTTAGCGCTCGTACTCTACAGATCGGGCTCCAACAGCGCTAGTGACCCTTATTGAGCAACGCGATTACCATACAATCGCCGTCCGATTACCTACGATTGGCCTAGTGCAAAGGTTGCTAGGTCGACTGGTTATGCGACTTGATCATAGGGTAATTGTAACGGCGTCGCCAGGTAGCGCAATCAGCAGGCTTCGACAAAATGTGGATGATGGATCCTGTCCGTCGACGACAACAAAGAAACGGACATTGCTGGCAATAAACAAGCGGAACGCGAACGGATGCTGCGCCGTGGCGCGCGGACGCAATTTGCGCAGACTAAATCTCTAAAAGAAAGAAGTGAGCAGAGAGCGAAGCGAGGATCACACACCTCGTTCCACACCTGCGCAAGAGCTGTCAGTGGAAGATAGGAAGACAGGTACGTACAATGATGTTCGTGAACTCGTGAAGTGCCAAGCTGCTCTTCTTACATACAGGTAGTTTTTACTCGCGAGTGAAGCTCTTAACTCGACATAGCATTCAGAGAGCGGCAATTGCGGCATTTCTAGCGTGTTCAAAGTACTGCATCCCTCGACGTCGGTGAATGTCAACCCTCGGATCTACGGTTCCAACCGTCAGGATTCGCCGACGTACTTCGACGCCGACCGGGCATTGCTTTGAACACGCTAGAGTCTAGGTGGGTGACTTTTCGCCCCAAGTTCAGTCCCGAGCCTCGGTGATAGTTGCGCGCGGAGATGGGCGAACGTTAGCCGTGGATTTCCAGCCCCCGTGCTTCTTCCAAAGCCCAAGTTCTGGTTGGAAATACCGAAGCAGGTTCAGTGGACCCACGTGTACAATGACGTGACACCGAGCTGCGTAAAACACCATAAATCCACGTCAGATATGGTCCCCTCCAGCGTCCTTTGGCCAATACGATTTCGTGCCCTAGACAGTCCCGTGTCTTGTTCGTTTCATGGAAAATGGCCGCGATGACGTTTCTAGTTCGACATAAAATGCAACCAAGACTGAGGGCGTGTCCCACGAGTTCTTTTTTTGTTCAAACTCTGCGGTGAGGAAAGGTTTTGTGCATTTTTGAACGGTTCTTTTGCTTCACCGCTTTAAACCGTGACCCACCAGTCTGTACAGTGATTCATGGGCTGTGAACGAACTCGTGGGACACGCCCTGAACTATTCTGCTGGTTGAGGCGATACCGGTAACTTGTCCAGTGGAGGTCTGTTTGATCTAGGCAGGCGGGTCTTGTTTAGATTTAGGCCGCTTCTTTTTTATGCGGTCAGGTACGTTATAACAGGATAAATAATCGGTAAGGGTGGAAAGGATGGAAATCCCTGGGAGTGGGAAATCCCAGAGAGGGGTGAAAAGCATAATAGAAGAACCTTCGTATAGCGGAGTCGTTTAGAAGAATACCCTTTACATAATTGTATCCGTTTAGTTACACCTTCCCCTAAAGAATAGCCAACCGTCATATGGGGTTTGGCTATAATTCCGGGCCTGATCCACGAACCCGTGAAATTCGTTCGAAAAGTGCTCATCCACAAATACCGGTACGTCACAGAAATGAGGGGAATCTCTGGGATAGGTAGATGTTCGGATAATAGAAACAATTTGAAGGGTCTTGAGAATTCTTCGGATGTTCGACAAACACGTCATAGAAATACCTCGTTATAGCTCAAATTTTGAAAGAAGAACCTTCGTATAGCGGAGACTTTTAGAAAATTATCCGCCACGAAATTGTACCCATTAAATTACACCTCCGTTTAAATCATAGCCCGCCGTCATTATGGGGCTGGCTAAGATTCCGCTGCAAGCGCCACGGTGCCTGATCCACGAACCTGTGAGATTCATTCGGCAAGTGCTCATCCACAAAACATGTCACAGAAGTGAGGGGAATCTCTGGGATATGTAAATGTTGAATAGAAACAATTTGAAGGGTGTTGAAAAATCTTCGGATGTTCGACAAATACCGTCTTAGAAATACCCCGTTATTGCTCAAATTTCGAAAGTAGAACCTTTGTATAGCGGAGTCGTTTGGGAGATTACCCGTCACATACTTGTACCCGCTAAATTACACCTCCCTCTAAAGAATAGCCAACCATCATTATGGGGTTTGGCTATAATTCCGGGCCTGATCCACGAACCCGTGAAGTTCAGCATAATAGAGCTCAGCGGACGAAAAATGCCGCCCATTTTCGCGGGCCAGAACGGACAACCCCCCTCCTCGGGGTTGTCGACCCCACGACGACCACCGCGTGGAAAGCCCAGGCGAGCTGGCTGGGCCCAGTGCTGGTGACCCCTCGGGATTGTCGACGACCTGTCGACCTTGGGTTCCGCTGAGACAATCCCGAGAAGGTCGTCTCAGCCGCGTGACGTCATCCCAGCTCGGCACGCGGGGCCGCGATGATCGCCACGCGGCCAAAAAAGAGACGTCCGAGATCGACCCCTGGATGGCGGGGCCATCGTGGACAGCCAACGTGGCCACGACGGGCCAACGGAAGGTGGGGGTGCTTCGCGTGGGAAAACTTCGCGCCCAAGCGTTGCCAGGTCGGTGCGTACCACACGGCCATCATCCAACGGTTGCCCACATGCCCAAGGCGAAATCCGACCGTCCACTACCTCTGCCTAGGTGCAGTGGATACTGGCGGGAATGTCGGCGTCGACCAGAAGGTCTTCATCGTGGTGCCACGCGGCAGTGTCTCCCGCCCTCGAACTACCGCGCTGGGACCACGCCACGTACCGCACCACAGAGCCAGCGTGTAACACCCATGAAAGGCGCATTATGAGCGAAGCGCTTCAAGCATGCACGCCCGGTGGCACGTCGGTCACGGCGCCGCCGCACGAGCGTACATGCATAGCTGCGTCCTGCACAGGGGTTTGCGTGGAGCGCCAAGTGGAGCGGAGTCGCTCACGACCATACCAATCTGGGGTCCAATTGCAGGTCGCTCATTCTGCCTGCCGTTCTCTGTGCTTTTCATCCGTTAGCTGGCACTTAGATTTTTTCCCCGTTCCCTTGACGGCTCGCCCTTAGTTTTTTTTTGCATCGGGAGATTGTCGGCAGACGTGGAACGTCGGCGTCGTCAGAATAGTCAGACGTCGGGGCCGCCGTCTCGTAGTGTTGTCTGCGATGCCGACCTGTCAGATACCGCCGACTTAGAATCGCCATGTTTCATTTCACCGACCTCACCACACCGACTTCCCATCGCGAGACCCTAGGTCGCGGTATCATGGCCGGAGCACAGCCTCGCTCGACACCGCCGCAACCGCAGCCACCACCCGCCGACGTCGACATGACGGACGTTCCGAACCCCGCTAGCCAGGGTGAGGATGTCCGCCCGGTAGATCGTACACCGAACAGTAACCCCTCGTCGACGCTGCCCCTGCTTTACGATCTCGACGCCCTGGCCCAAATCCCGAAGGGAGAGTTCACCAAGGACGTTCCACCCGCGCCCATAGGGGAGTTCACGAAACCAAGCAAAGACACGTCGGCACCGACGAATGCAGCGGAGGCCGGGCCGTCGTCGGTGCCGGACGTAGCGGGCGACCAGGGTTTAGGGTACTCCTCGGCGAGCGACGAGGACGACGAAGCCGACGCGCGGCCCCGACGTGGCCCAGGTCCGCGCACGTTGGAAGAAAAGCTCAGGGGGGAACGTGCGTTCATCGAGGAACTTCTGGACGAGGACGAGCTCGAGGATCTGATGAACACGTCGGTCCCTCGAGAACAGTGGAAGGCGGCCGACTTCGTAGAGGAAGATATGGTGTACGCGTGCGTCGACGTGCTCGTGATGGAGGCATTGCGCCACCTGAAAACCATCGAGGCTAAGAGCACGCTCCAGTCCTACATCTCATGGATCTACCACTACAAGAGGTGGGCCGCGAAGATGCTCAAAGAGATAGGCGACAAGCTGCCGATCGGGGAACGAACTAGGCACGTCGACGAGATCGGGCACTGGATCCACTGCAACAAGAGCAAGGATTGGGACAACCCGAAGGTGGTCAAACGGAAGCACATCTGGCTGCACGGCCCCAAGGTCACTCCGACGCGGCTGCGCGCCTACGTCAAGTTCATGAGGCGGGAGTTCAAGATCGACGCCGAGACGAACGCGCCGGTGCCGTCCTACACGGTGCACATGATCCTCGGCCGCATCAAGGCATGCCAGATGGCGGCGAGGGTGGAAGCGACGCTGTACAAGGAGAAGGAGTTGGGCATCATGCGAGAAATCTCGGTTGTCCGGTCGGAGGTGCGGGTCATGGTCCGCACCAAAAACCAGAGGGACATCAAGTAAGTTGGCATCCAGCGCCGTTTTCTAGTCGGTGACGATTTGTTCCCATCGCCCTAATAATCCTACCGCCGTATTGTTCTGTCGACAGTAATTGCGCCGACCGTCGACGCGGCACCATCGGCGACACATACACCGCCGAACAGTTCCGCCAGATCATGACGAGGGTGCTGCCGGCTTGGGCGGCGTCGGCATGGAGCCCGCATTTCACCACTCCCTCGCAGACGCTGTGGAGGTTCCTTCTCGTCAAGGTGCTCACGCTGCTCTCCCACCACAGCCTCATGCGCGGTGCAAGCATCCGCGAGATCACGCTCCCCGACATCTTCTTGTACCGACTGGCGAGCACCTCGTCGGTGAACCCGGATAACCAGCCGGTCGTCATGGTGGTCGCCGCGCGGAACTCGAAGACGTCGAAGGATGCGCGTCTTCAGCAGAGCTACGCCGCGCGGCACCTCGAAGCGGAATTGTGCGCCGTCGGCGAGACCGGACTGTGGCTACACTTCATCCTCGACCAGATCGGCCAGTTTCACGGCGTCGACCTCATTCCGCCGGTCGACACCAGCACACGCGAGCGCTGGTACAAGAAGCACCTGTTCTTCGCCCGCAACGACCCCGAGCAGGGCGAACTCTCCGCTGCCAGCCACCAGCGATGGACGAGGCAGATGTGGAAGACGAACGGGGTGTACTGCAAGCGGAACGTCCATGCCGCTCGGGCAGGCGGGGCGCAGGAGCTGGCCATCAACGGTACGCCTCGCGCCGAGATAGCCGAGCTGGGTCACTGGGCTCTCGACAAGATGACTCGAGCCTACATCACAGCCATTCCCGTCGGCGTGGTGATGAAGAAGGCCGGCTATTCGGGCTACACGCAGGACTACTTCTTGGGGCGCAGCAGGGTGGAACCGTCGGACGAGCTTCTCAAGCTCATCGCCGAGCACATCTTCCCCGGCGTCGACGAGCTCCTTAAGAATGTATGTCGATCGGTACCGACCAAGCATCGCATGGCACTGTACTTTCAACCACGGTAATTACCCACGTCTGTTGTCTAATTGCAGGCGGAAGAACTCGCGAAGAAGGGGTCCGACGCCGACGTTGCTGCCGTGCATTTCTGGCGCACCCTCCAGATGTTCCGCCGCATTGTCGCCGAGGACCTCGCTGTGAAACTCGTCCGCACGCCTTGGCACCCGTACGTCCAGTATTCCAAGCTCTGCCGGATTCCCCTCTTCCAGCACTGGGCGAAGAGGGTGGAGAAGACCGACACCGAGACCATCAAAAAGCGGCAAGACCCAACCCTCATCCAGCCAGAGGTGAGTCATCTTTATGTCGACATCGCCATGAGCACTGTGCCCGATGACAACACCTCACCTGCACCGTTTTTCGCCTACATTGCAGGAGATATCGGTCCGCCATGACGCCCAGTACGCGGTCGTCTCCCTCACAACGACGCTGAAGCTCGAGAGGGAGCGGTCAGCGGTCGAGAAGATCGACCTCGAGGAGAAGCTCGAGCAGCGCGACGCTACCATCGCGTCGATGACGGACGAGATAACCCGCCTCACCGAGGCTCTCCGCGTTTCAGAAGCTCGTAGGATGCCGGAGGCGCCGCCAGCTGCGAACGAACAATCGCCGAGCGACGGTGGCTCCGCGGAGTCGGCAAGCAGGGGTGACGGAGCCAAGAAACCCAAAAAACCCCCACAGACGGTCGAGGAGGCTAGCTACGAGCTGAACGTGGTTCAGCCTTGGCGGAATGCAACGACCGTGAGGGACGCGTGGCGCCTCTGGACCTCGTGCACCAGCGCCGACACCCGTCGTCTGTGCGACAGGTTCTTCGAGCCGGGATTCGTCGACCGCCACACCCTCCTCGACGGAGCCTCGCAGGGAGCACACGGGACGAGGGTGCGCCGCATGATGAAGGTAATCGATGCCGTGCGCCAGCTTCGTGAGAGCGACGGCGAAGCCGACACCGAAGCCGTCGTCGACGCGCTTAACACGATAGCGGTGCCTGGCATTGGGACCTTCTCGGATGCCCTCACGGTGCTCAACGCGGGCAACAAACCGACCTATGCCGGGCAGGGTAAGGGCGTCAAGGGGCTCGGCAAGACGGAATTTGCCAAGCTTCGTCTCGCCAGTGCGCTCGTGGCGCGCGGGTTCAAGCCGGAGAAGTTTGTCGCCGACCTTTTCCCGGACACATGGGAGGAGGGGATGAAGAAGGCGTTGGCCGACCTGGCCCGCGAAAACGACGCCGGGAAGCTGCCTCCGACCAAGAAGTCGACCAAGCGCAAGAAGACCGCGTGAATGCTCACAAGCAACATGCGATTGTGGGCTGTTGCATGTTGTAGATGATGTTGTTACAGCATGCATGTGTTTCGTACTTATACAGTTGTCGACTTTGAGTTTCTCACAATGCTCATGTGGTAGTTCTAACATAGTTAGTCACGTGTCGGCCTGGTATCCTTCGTGATGTGACAAGATACTGGTTCAAATGTTCATTACACATCCTACATAAAGTCGACATGCACTCACACAAGGAAACGCAAAAAACCAGCATCAAAGGGGTCCGACAGCCGAAACACACAAAACGAGATCGACCATAGCAGCATCAAATCCAAGCAACAATGAATCCAAGCTAGCAGTAGGCATAGCGCTACATATGCCCCTCCCCGACTACGCCGACTCCTTCGCCTTCTGGCCCTTCGTCCCCTTCTTCTCCGTGCCGCCCTTGGCCTTCGTCGCCTTCTTGCCCCTCTGACCATTTCTGACCATCGGCCTTCATCTGCGCGTCAATCGGCACCGCGATGCCCCTCGCTTTGAGTTTCGGCCCGGCGACGGGGCACATTCCCCAGAACGCCATCGTCTCGACCGTCGCTCTTGCGATCACGTCGGCATCGACTCCGGCATCCACCCCCGGATAGGCCATGTCAAGGGCGGTCCTCTTGAGTGCTGGCGCGACGTTGTAAGCAACCTCTCCCAGGGGGCGGTCCCTGTTGATCTCGGCGTTCAGCACCGCCTCCATGACTTTGCCGAATACATCGGCGGTCGCCTGGCTCGCTCCGCCCACAAGCGCCGCCGCCTTCCCTTCTTCCACAGCATCCTCCACCTGGGCATCGCCGTTCTCGACGAAGCACCACACAGCGCATGCGGATGCTCCTAACGCCCATGCCGCCATATCCGTCTTCTCGTCGCTGTCTCCCTCCTTTCTCGCCGCTGTCGCAGCGGTCTTCCCATACGCAGCGCACATTGACACGCGGCCAATCAACGCGGACAGCATGGACGCCGACTTCTCTCGGCCTTCCTCGGTGTCGGGATCGACTGGGTACCATATCGCTGGCAGGAGCGCGGCGTGCAGCGCATCGCCAGTGGTCTTGTAATGTCGATACTTGTCGAGGATCTCATTCAGCCTGTCACGCCAGCACAACAAACAGGGCGAACATTAGTGACCACCACAACGACATCGACTTTGGGTAGGAGGATTGCCGACTTACCGTGTCTTTGGAAGGAGCGTTCCCCGGGCCCACATCACCGTCCACATCCCGGTCGGCAAGATCCTGACCTCCTCCCACACCTCCTTCCACCTCTCCAACTCGGCGCTGTCCAGGACGGTGAGCTCGTTCATGAGCACCTTGCTCACGAAACCGTCGTAGACGACGAACGCGATGGAGTGCACGTACGCGAGCTCCATCTTCTCACGCGACTTGCCGATGTATCGATTGATGCCGTGCACCTTAATCTCGCCGACCCATCCTAGCTTGTCGCCCGAGGTATCGTGTCGGATGCCATGACCCCGCCTCTCCTTGCTCTTCCCCCCCTCCTCCTCCTCCTCCTCCTCCTCCACCTCCTCCTCCTCCTCATCGTCCTCATCCGCCTCCTCCACCTCCTCCTCCGCCTCTTCTTCTTCCTCCTGCTCGACGTCCTCCACCTCCTCGACATCCTCCTCCGCCGCCTTCCGCTTTCCCTTTCTCCCTTTCGACGAACCATCGCCGACCGCCTTCTCCTTCCCCTTTCTCCCCGTCGACGCACCTTCTCCTACCGACTTGTCCTTCCCCTTCCTCCCCGTCGACGTACCCTCGCCGAGCGACTTCTGATTCTCCCCCGCTTTCCCTTTCACCCCCGTATTGCCGCCTCCATCCTTGTCAGCCGCCGTCTCAGCCGCCTTCCCCTTCCCTCTATCCGCCGCCTTCGCCTCCGACTTCTCCCGCGTCTTCCTCTGTGAGCCCGCCTTCCCCTTCCGTTTCGCCTTTCCATCGCCGACAGCATCACCGGTCGCAGTCGGCTCTGCTGGACTGCCGACGAGACCCGCCGAAGGCTCCACATGTGCCGTGTCGGAGATGGCCAGCGGTCGGGGATTGGCAGCATCCAGGTGGGCCTGTATGGCAGCGATATCAGCATCGGGGGGCGCCTGCTCGACGGGGCCGCCGCCGGTGGCAAGGGCGGCACGAACGCCCTTCTCCGCCGCCTTCTCAACCTCAGCTGCCACAGGGGTGGGTGGTGCGACTTTTGCCGACGACGTCTTAGCGCCGGAGCCAGAAGCCTGCTGAGTTGGCGCAGTCGACGCTAGTGCGCCCAGCTGGGCGCGCAGCAACGCGGACTTTGGGTCTGCAGGAGCACGGGCGGCGACGACCGGCGACTTTGGGACACTGGCAGATGGGGCGTCGACAGCAGCGGGGGGCTGTTGAACAGCCTTGTGGCCGGCTAGGCGCCTGAGCTGCTCCTTGAGCGCGTCCGCAACTGCCGCCCCTTTCCCCGCGCGGCCAGCCTTGTCGGCAGCCGGGACGTCGGCAGAGCGCGGGACGTCGGCAGGTCGCCCGGCAGACGGTCCGGTCGGAGGGCGTGCACCAGCTGGGGGCTGGTGAGGAACCGCTGACGCCACCGCGACCCCTGTCTTCGGGCCCTGGCCAGCTGGGGCCGTTTTTGCGGCCGCCTTCTCCTTGTCGCGCAGCCCTTCTTCACCGCTACCCTGTCGTGGTGGCTTATCGGCGACCGAAGGCGGAGCCCTTGGCAGTGCGTCATCAGTGGCATGCTCGTCGGCGGGACCCCCACCACCCTGATCAGTGCTGGCCGCTCGAACCCCAGCCCAGTGCTTCTTGAGCATGTCGAGCACGCTCTTCCCCGACTGCTTCCCCGAACTGCCTTCCCCGGCTCCCTTGCTCCCATCGCCGGCGACGCGAGAACCAACCGCTCCCTTGGTCTGCCTCGCGCTCGCCGAATCGTCTCCGTCCCCCCCGCCCCCTCCTTCTCCGGCCTTCTTGCTACCGTCGCCGGCGACGCGAGAACCCCCCGCTCCCTTGCTCCGCTTCGTGCTCCCCGCGTCGTCTCCGTCGCCCCCCCCGCCGCCTGCCCCCCTCTTCAGACCCTGCTTCGTGGCCTCCATAGGTTGCGCATGGCCGGCGTCGTTGGCCGACGGCGACGACCCACGCCGAGCTTGGGTCGCCACAGTGCCGACCATCTCGGTCATTATCTTCAAACCGGAGGCGAGGAAAGACTGCTGCGTGACCTCCGTCACCGCCTTCAGCAGATCCTCCTTGAATGAATTCAGGAACTCTTCCGGCAAGGCCTGCGCTGGGGTGGTCGGCGGCGGCGGCTGCACGACGAGGCGGGGAGACACGGCGGCTGCAATGTTGGTCTGCGCGGCGCCGATGTATTTTATGAACGTCTCCTCCAAAGCCTTCCTCGCCTCACCCACCTCACCCGTCACGTGGTCGGCCAATTGGTCCACCGCGGTCGCTCGAGCGACCGCCATTCGTCCGTTGGGGGCGTCAATATCCAGCAGCATCTGCCTCGCTAGCTCGGCAAACCTCTTGCCCGATTCAACTGCGTTCTCCAGGTTGCTGGTGAGGTCCTCGGTGATTGTGGCCGCCATGGTCGACGTGGCCTCTTTGAGGCGCTCCACCGATTTCCGGTCGGTGTCCGCAACCTGGGCGGTCAATGCCGTGAGCTTGTCGAGGATCCCAGCTACCGCCGCCGCCAAGCAGTCGACCCGCCCCGCCTGATCACCGAGCTGCCGTTGCAAGCGTGCATTGTCGGCACGCAATTGTCGGTTCTCCGCACGCAGCTGCTCGACGACGTCCGGCATCGCCTGCCGACCAACTGCGGTGGAACTTGGATGACCGCTCACCGCCTTCTTTTTCCTGGACCGCTCCCCCCCGGCCTTCTCTGCGGTAGCATCGGTATGCATTTCCACGCCCGTCTGCTTCGTCGCCGCGGCGAAATCCCCATCTTCGTCGGCCTCGAGGTCGACAACTTCCTTCCCTTCGCCGACAACGACCATCCCACTCCCCCCGTGAGCCGCCTCCTCGCCGACCTCCTTGCTGGGTTCCGCTGTCGCCCCCTTCCCCTCTCCTTCGATTTCCGCCGATCTCCCACCCGTTTCCGCCGCTCCTTCTGCAACGTTCCCCTCCGCCATTTCCACGTCCACCTCTTCGTCATGCTGCTCCTCTTGCTGCTCGTGGTGCTGCCTCTCGTGCTCCTGCTTCTTCTGCTCCTGCTGCTCCTGCTCCTCCACCGACTCCGACACCGACTCCGACTCCGACTCCGACTCCTCCGAGCCCCCCTCATCCTCACGATCCGCCTCACGACCCTGGACCCCATCATCATCCCCATGAACAACCTCGTCCCGGTGCTTCTCCTCGGTCCCGGCCACCCCATGTCCTGCTGCCGCATCGGCCTCGTCGACGCCGCTACCAGGCTTTCCGACCGAGGTGCCACGCGCATGAGCGACGGCAGGGGCGACACCGCCAGCTTGGGGCGCCGACTGAACCTCCTCGCCGTCGTCGTCACAGACGTCGGCCGCAACTACGTTTCGGCCCGACCGTATGAGCGCGACCTGCTTCTTGATGAAGGCTACCATCTCAGTCCGCAGCCCCTTCAACCCCGCAACAGCGACCTTGTCCATGCTGGTGGCACTGCGACGGAGGGCGCCGGCCAACCGATCCTTCCGCCTCACAGCCCAAAGCAACACGCTCATTGCTAGCAGGCCGGAGCCCGCGTCCCCGTCCCGGACGGTGTCGGGCACTTTCTGCACACAACACAGGAGAGCGCTGATATGAGCACCGAGATCGGCAGTCGCATCTCGCAAGGACGAACGGCAGTTGCATCGCGCAAGGAATTGACACCAAACGTACGAAACTCACATCTCGAAGGGGTTCGTCGCAGTCGGCGAGCCTCGCATGCACCTCCTCCTCGGACGGCTTCGCCCAGTCCCATTTCCTACCTTCGCGCCGAAGCTCGGCCATTACAGCCGCCCGGAAAAACCTGCAAAGCATGGCACAGACGGTCAGTTAGCACGGTGCACGCTCCGCATTGACAACGCAAGCGGCGTCGACTACACTATTGAGCTCACTCCAGCACGCGTTTCGCCTCTTTGATGTGCCACTCCTTCACAGTCTGCGGGTCGGCGTGCCGGATCGAGGTCCTGATCAACTGGCCCGATGCCTTCAACAAGTCGCCGGGGCACAGGATGATAATGACGCTGCAATGTGTTCCCGGAAGCGGTGCGATGCTGCACAGACAATGGACGTCGACATAGATCAGAACACATAATCGACGCAGGTTGCACCACACGCGCGACGACCCCGAACACCCTCACCTCGATATCAGTGGGATAACCGCCACGTCGGCGTCAAAAACCTTCGCGAAGACGGTATGGTCGTTCTGACCCATCGCCGCCCTAAGACGGCCGACTCCTATCGACCACAGCCGCTGGTCCTCCTCCGTTCCGCGCAACCATGCGTGCCTGCACGCATGCATGATCAGGAGGAGTGCGTGAGGATGTGGTCGGGACGCCGGCAGATACTACGGTTGCGGCAATAACACGACGGGTCGGGGATTCGACGAGAGCCGAATGAATATGGCACAACGCATCGCCTACGCCGACCAGACACCTTACGTCGGCGCCACCGATGTGATCGACATCCCTAATCCCTAACCCATGAGTCCGTCGACCTAAAAGACGGGTATTATGAAACCACGCTAGGGCTATCACCAGCATGAAATAACGACGCCGACATCCCCATACGTCACTCACTTGAGGCCGAGTCCCAAGCAACGGGCGTTAAACTCTAGCATAGGGTTTGTCAGAACGGCGTAGTCGTGTTCCTCGAACTTGGATGTGAGTCCTCTACCGACGCTTAGATACAGGGGGAAGTCGCGCGAGGTCGGCGTCGCTTCGTCGGCAATCTGGTCGGCCGCCATGGCGGGAGAGCGAGGATGCTATGCTACGGGCTAAGGGAAGAAACGGTGGGAGAATGGAAGGCGCAGAGGTGGGAAAAGAACATGAAAGAGAAACGAGAACGCGAAAATGAAGGGGACAGCCCACCTCCAACGAAGAAAAGCCAGGCGGAGCCTCGCAGGCCCGGTTGAGCGTCGCCCAGGGGGCCGTGGTCCCTGGCTCGGCAGGGCTCGTGCACGGGTGGCGTGGCACAAGTGCACCCTCGCCGCCGAGCCAGCAGGTCGACGTCACGTCCCCTGGCCTCGGTCGGCCAGGGGACGCAAATTCGCATGCACGCGGTGTGATGTTTCGGCACCACGTGTCGATTTCGCAGCGGGTCGCGAAAACCGTGCGCCTTGGTGCGAGAGACCCAGGACTTCGCTCGATTTTCGGCGGGTACGAAATGTCGCATGCATAGAAAAAACGATGCGAAACGACGGGCGGGCACGTGGCGTCACCGCAACGGGTCGCGAAATCGCCGATCGTCCCGAGGGGAGCCCCCGAATTTCGCACGGGCCTCGCCTGCCCGTACGGGCAGGCCGCGATGGGTTACTAGGACCTCGCGGGCAGGAGGGACGGGTGGGCTGCCTTCGCGCCGGGGTTACTTTCCCTCGCGCGAGGTCTCGCCAGCTCGCCGCCCCCACCCGGTAACGTGGGTCGCTGTTCACTTTCGGGGGGGGGGGTTTGCGGGGCGGCGGTCGTGCGCTCGGCCCAGCCCTGGGCCAGGCTGGCGGGCCCGCACGCGCGTCAGTCGCCCGCCTCGTCGGACCCCCTTCCGTCGACCCCCCTCGTCGACCCTGGCAATTCGGCTCCGTCGACCGAATTCCGCTGGGATCTTCGGTGTGTGCTTAGTTATTTGTCCTCAGCTGTGACGCACCCGTTCCCCGCTCTGCACAACCTTCGCCTGTCGCATTCCCGTCGCAAAGTCGCCTGCTTCCGCCGCGCGACGCATGCGGTCGTCGCTGGCTCGTTTTTCCCCGAGCCGCCTATCGCCAGGCGTGTCGAGGGCGCTGCTGGGGGCCGCGTGGGTGGCGGGATGGGCGGGGCTGTGCGCGTGGGTGGTGTGGTTCGCGCACTCGCAGGCCGCCAATCCGCGGCAGGAGGCGATGCGAGCGTGGTGTCGCACGCGCGTGCGATACCTCCAGCAGGACATCCGGTCGTCCATCGACCGCGCGCAGGCGATAATCCCCGCGAATTCCCCCGTCGCGCCCGCATTTCGCGTCCATTCGCGCGCGCGCATGCGAGCCGGCGATCTGCCAGAGAAAAAAATGGCATGAACCCACCGACCCGTTGACAAACCGTTAAACTAACCACGTTTTAGCCTTTTAGTCAATCGCCCAGATGCATGATGGTGATCCGACCCTCGCAACGACACCCGCCGCTCGTCCATCGCCGCAGCACACACGCACGCAATGCACTAGCATGGGCCGACAATGGGCCCATAAGCTTCGTACCCAAAATGTGACGTATATGTCACCTTTTCCTGCCATAGCCTTTTGGACTCGAAATCTCCGCGCTGAGCCCAAATCCCAGCAGTCGGACCGCACCCATCGAGCCTCCCGCTTTTCCCCTCCCCTTTTCCCCCCCCCTACCTTCGTCGCGACAGTGACGTTTCCGTCAGCGCCCAGTAAGACCAAACGCCCCAATCGAGTGTCTCAGTATGTAACGTCTGTGGACTTACACACAGGTTTAGAGGCATTTGTTACACCTCTGAAATGACCCCGTTCTGGCCCAGTGGCCTCTAGACCACTTACACAGAAATGCGTGACACCTGCTTGCGTCTCTCCCCTCTTAAGCTTCGCGCCTGCCTCCCACCTGCCCAACCACAATTGTTCTCCCCTTCTCAGCCTCCCCTCCTCAGTCTCGCCTTTTCAGTCTCGCCTTCTCCGTCTCGCCTTTTCAGTTTCGCCTCCTCAGTCTCTCCTTCTCAGTCTCCCCTTCTCAGTCTCCCCCTTCTCAGTCTCGCCTTCTCAGTCTCGCCTTCTCACTCTCGCCTTCTCACTCTCGCCTTCCCACTCTCGCCTTCTCACTCTTGCCTTCTCAGTCTCTCCTTCTCAGTCTCTCCTTCTCAGTATCTCCTTCTCTGTCTCGCCTTCTCACTCTCGCCTTCTCACTCTCGCCTTCTCACTCTCGCCTTCTCACTCTCGCCTTCTCACTCTCGACTTCTCACTCTCGCCTTCTCACTCTCGCCTTCTAAGTCTCGCCTTCTCAGTCTCGCCTTCTCTGTCTCCCCTTCTCAGTCTCTCCTTCTCAGTATCTCCTTCTCAGTCTCGACTTCTCACTCTCGCCTTCTCAGTCTCGCCTTCTCAGTCTCGCCTTCTCAGTCTCGCCTTCTCACTCTCCCCTTCTCAGTCTCTCCTTCTCAGTCTCGCCTTCGCACTCTCGCCTCCTCAGTTTCGCGGGTCTCGCCTTCTCAGTCTCGCGCTCTCATCAGTCTCACCTTCTCAGTCTCGCCTTCTCAGCTCGCCTTCACACTCTCCCTTCTCCGTCTCACCTTCTCAGTCTCTCCTTCTCACCTCGCCTTCAAAGTCTCTCCTTCTCAGTCTCCCCTTCTCACTCTCGCCTTTGCACTCTTGCCTTTTCAGTTCCGCCTACTCAGTCTCACCTTCTCATCTCCCCTTCTCACTCTCCCCTTCTCATCTCCCCTTCTCAGTCTCTCCACGTCCGTCTGCACTGGTAGTAGCAGTCCCCCTGTCCCCATGCTCTTTCTCGTGCTGTTACTTTCTTTTCATTCTCACTCCCCACTTCTCACTCGCAGTGGCGAGCGCTCGCCCTTTTATCGTCCATCCTTCCATTGCTTAAGCTTCAAACTCAGTCTCCCAACTCAGCCTCCCATTCTCCTAGTCTGTCAGTTGCCAAACCACTCACTCTACCAACCTCTCAATCGCCAAACCACTTACAAATTAGGAGCCTCTGCTACTCTTACCCCGTTTGTATGCACCGCACCACGTGATCTTGCCCCATCCGCATGCACCACATTGCTCCCATCCGTAGTATGCACTGCCGTTTTCTTAACCCATCCCATCCGCATGTGCTGCACCTCGCTTACCCTTTTACCTCTCGCTCTTTCCACATGCACCGATCGCCTCCCTTCTTCATGAACCCGGTTCCATTTCTTCCCCATACCCACTTTTCACCGTCCCCCTACCCTCCGGGGTCCCAATCCCTGCATATCCCGCCTCCCATCTCACGCTGCAGTAGTCAATTGATCTGGTGACTGCCTGGGGTGCATCCTCACTCCCGCCCTCCCTCCTCCTCCCCCCCCCAACCCCGACCCTTCACTTCACCCCCTCCTTCTGTCTCCCACCTCGTTTTGCAGGAGGCAATCGGGGTGGTATGCACCGTCGCTCACTTCGGCCCACAAAGCAGCAGCAACACCCCGCAACGCCCATGCATTCCCCCCCGTCCACTTCAACACCTCCTTCCTGTCTCCTGTCTCCCGCCTCGTTCTGCAGGAGGCAATCGGGGTGGTACGCACCCTCGCTCACTTCGGCCCGCGCAGCAGCAGCAACCTGAGCTACTGGGGGCTGGCGGGGTGTGTGAATTACAACGCCATGTCAGACTATAACCTCCATGCGGATGCAATCGGCAACTTCAGCACGGGCACCATCCTCATGATCGTCACCCGCCAAGACAGGTGAGGACAGTCAGGTCAGGTCTGCCTGGCTGGCTTTTGAGGCACCTGGAAAGTGTGGCAGGCGGATGCAATGCTATTGGCAACTTCAGCACAGGTCAGGACTGTCACCCAGCAAGCCAGGACAGGAACGTCGCCCAGCAAGACAGTTCAAATCCACGGGTTCCTTCCAACCCATGCCTGTCAAGTACCACCTTCTGGGGTCCCAATGGGTCCCAATCGTACCCCCGGACCCCGGTGCATGTGATGCCTTTAGCACGGGCACCCTATGTTGGAATATACGCGTTTATCATATATACGCGTTTCTTATATACGCAAGCGTGTATACTCTATACGCTTAAACCTCAGATCGGGGATACGCTTTTCCGGGCAGGCAAAAAAAACCACGGGCAGGGGGGAAAAAGTTTCTGGTTTGGTTTTGGAGGGGGGGCATTTCATGGGCTTTGTGAGTTGGATCGTATTTTTCCAGAGATTAACTCACCAACATGAACATACACAGGACTGCAGGGGCATCATCGTCATGATCCTTTCCAACCCCCACTCTACCATGCATCTTTTTGCATATCCTCGATTTTTTCGCCCGGGCTGCCCCAAAAAAAAATCGGGCTGCGTATTGCGTTTGAGTGGGCGTTTAGCGTTTTACGTATATACACTAGCGTGCAAACGCTAAACGCAAAGGGGTCTGGGCGTATATTCCAACATAGTGGGCACCATCCTGTCATGATCACCGCTGACCAAGACAGGTCATATCCACAGAGGTTGCATTGCTCCCCTCCTCCTCCCCTCCCTGCAGGCCCCGGGTAGAGAGCATCATAGGGTAGCCAATCCAGTCAGTGCTGGGCCTGCCCGCCCCAAGGAAGGATTTGTACGGAGTGAACGTGTTTTGCAGCGCAGCATCTACACCACCTTTCCCTGCTCCTCTCCTCCCCGCCCTGCACTCCAGGCCTCTAGTGGAGCGCATCGTCGGGCATCCAATCCAGTCAGTGCTGGGCCTGCCCGCCCCGAAGGAGTTTTACGGAGTGAACGTGTTTGGCAGCGCAGCGTCTACACCACCTTTCCCTGCTCCTCTCCTCCCCGCCCTGCACTCCAGGCCTCTAGTGGAGCGCATCATAGGGCATCAGATCCAGTCAGTGCTGGGCCTGCCCGCCCCGAAGAAGGATCTGTACGGAGTGAACGTGTTTGGCAGCGTCAACCCCGACTTTCCCATAATGCCCTTCACCGACTTCTTTCCTCTGATCCCTCCGGACCTCCGTGACAACCTCCTAAGAGGACAGACCGTTGCGGGTGCTCCTCTCTCCACTGGACCCGGATATGTGGCAATCGGTGCGTGCGCTCCTCTTTCCCCCATGCCCTACCTTATGGCGTTTCAAGTGTCATCCTTGCTTGATCTTACAAGGACAGACCATCGCATCGCGGGTGCTCCTCTCTCCACTGGACCTGGATACGTGGCCATTGGTTTATGCTTTTCTCTTTCCTCTTTTCTCCGTGCCCTACCTACCGGTATTGGTGTTTCATGTGTCAATTCGCTTGATCTTATGTTTGCAAAAATGTGGTTTATTTGCCCGAGGGGTTTTCATTGATATTGTGCTGTGTATTCCTATCTTGGTCTCTTCATAATGCATCATTTCTTGCTTTCGTTCTTGACTTCGTTTGGCCAGACTATCGCTATCAGGCCATAACGCCCTTGTTCCCTATCAAGCCAAACATGCATTGCATTCTGTTGTCACTAAACGTGAGCTAATCGAGTCATCCAGTCCCTCAGTGCAACAATATGGAAGCTCTTTTGAAGGAAGGAAAGAAACCTTTCGTCTAACCGTTCAGAACGCCCTTCCCTTCCCTCTTCTCTTGGCTTTCCTTGCAGTGTTTATCATTCCCATCTTCCGCCATCCTCTGCCAGCGAGTGCATCTGTGCAACAAATTCGAGACAGCATAAGCATTGCGTGGGCTGGTGTGGTTCATCTTGAAATGAGGGCCCGCGACATACTGCACATGCTTGAAAATGGTGAGCTCTCTTTTGCGTCGACTCAAAAATCAACTGGGCCCGCGACATACTGCACATGCTTGAAAATGGTGAGCTCTCTTTTGCGTCGACTCAAAAATCAACTGGGCCCGCGACATACTGCACATGCTTGAAAATGGTGAGCTCTCTTTTGCGTCGACTCAAAAATCAACTGGGCCCGCGACATACTGCACATGCTTGAAAATGGTGAGCTCTCTTTTGCGTCGACTCAAAAATCAACTGGGCCCGCGACATACTGCACATGCTTGAAAATGGTGAGCTCTCTTTTGCGTCGACTCAAAAATCAACTGGGCCCGCGACATACTGCACATGCTTGAAAATGGTGAGCTCTCTTTTGCGTCGACTCAAAAATCAACTGGGCCCGTGACATACTGCACATGCTTGAAAATGGTGAGCTCTCTTTTGCGTCGACTCAAAAATCATCTGGGCCCGCGACATAATGCACATGCTTGAAAATGGTGAGCTCCCACACACGGTTTTGCAGATCGCGCAAGTGAGGTGACTTTTGAGGCGCCTCAAAAGTTGCGGGCAATGAGATGGCTTTTGAGGTGCCTCAAAAGTCGCAACTTTACTGCACATGCTTGAAAATGGTGAGCTCACACACACCATTTTACAGATCGCGCATTTGAACAAGCCGTCATCATCACATCAGACATGTGATATTTTCAACTTGGTTGGACCCAACTTTAGTGCTAGACTTCACTTCACCCCATAGCCGACCCATCCCCCCACCCCCCAACCCCCCCGTTAGCCCAGCTACCCAAACGCGTCCAAGGCAACTCAAGAGTCGGTTTGCGGGTCCGATCTGAGATGAAAAAGACCCAGCAAAAACGTGCCAGTCGGGTCTCGGGTCGGCCCGGCCCTAGCCGAATAACCTGTCCTGATATGATGCCGATAGGTCGTCGCACTGAATCGACCCGACCAAAAAGCCAGGCTGGATCGGCCCGACCCCACGTGGGCCGACCCGTTGCTCGTGCCTACAACCAACCCGACCTTTATAAGCCTGGCCGAGTCGATGGGCTGGGGGTTCTTGACCCGTCCTGACGACTGGTCGACCGGACCCGACCTAACGACTGGTCGACCGGACCCGACCTAACGACTGGTCGACCGGACCCGACCTGACGACTGGTTGGCCGGACCTGACCCGATCCGTACCCAGCTTGGGTCGAGCAAAGTCGGGACTCTTTCACTTTCTTCATATCCTCTTTGAGCCTTCCACCCATTGTGGGTGTCTTACATGGACTTTTGCCTTCCATATCCTCCTCTCCAGGAAGCAGCACATACTCATTTGCCATGCACGGCACCACAGAAGCACTGACTTGCCCCTTGTCAACATGATTGTAACCCCACACCCTCGAGTGCGGCAAGAATCAGGATCTCACACTGGATTCCCTTGCTTGTTCCGTTCTCCCCGCTCCCCAGGCACCAGCACATACTCATTCGCCATGTACGACACCACGGAATCTCTGAATTTCCCCTGGCTCAGCATGTTTGTATTGTAACTCCATCCTGAAGTGCAGTAGAATCTCACATTGGATTTGCTTGCTTTTTCCGTTCTTCCCTCTCCGCAGGAAGCACTACATACTCATTTGCCATGTACGACACCACGGAAGCAGGCGTGCTGAAGCATATATACGGCCCCGAAAAGCCACGGCTGGAAAGCGGTTCCGCCTTTCCCTTTGTGCTGCCCACGCCCATGATTGCCCCACCCGAGCATGTGGAGCCTTTTCCCGAGAACATGATGGGGCGCACATTCGAAGCCCACTGCGGGTATGTGTACGATGTATGAACTTCCTGATAAGTATGTGTGGACTGACTTTTCCTCTATGTGCTGGCAACGCCTGCGCCGGTTGCGCCACCCCACCCGAGCATGTGGAGCCTTTCCCTGAGAACATGATGGGACGCACATTTAAAGCCCACTGCGGATAGGTGTACTTGTATGAACTTCCTGTTGAATATGTGTGGACTGACTTCCCCCCTATGTGCTGGCAACGCTTGCGCTGGTTGCGCCACCCCACCCGAGCATGTGGAGCCTTTCCTTGAGAACATGATGGGACGCACATTCGAAGCCCACTGTGGGTATGTACGTGTTGCGGGTTGCAAGCACGAGTAGGGATCAGCAAAGTTTGAGCGTCAAGCATCAAAATGCTAGTGCCCAAACACTTGAAATCTGGCTGCCTGAGAGGCAAATCCAGGTTCAGAGTCTACCCAACTAAGAACATCATGGGACATGTTGTTTTAGAGGCGAATTTTAGAGTCGAATCAAAAGTCACCTCTTTTGAGTCGACTCAGAAGTCACTTCGGAATGTACCAACTCAAAACATCATAGGACACGTTTATTTCGATGTGGGCAGTGGCTTGTTGGCCAATGGACAGCTCTTGAAGAGCCAGAAAGCCTGAATATGAACCCACTTTTGAGGCGCTTCAAAAGAATATGGACCCAACGATATGTTAGACTGGGGGTCGTCGCTCACTGAGATTGACGAGATTGACGATACGTGAGATTGTCGATAAGTGAGATTGACGATAAGTGAGATTGACGATAAGTGAGATTGACGATAAGTGAGATTGACGATAAGTGAGATTGACGATAAGTGAGATTGACGATAAGTGAGATTGACGATAAGTGAGATTGACGATAAGTGAGATTGACGATAAGTGAGATTGACGATAAGTGAGATTGACGATAAGTGAGATTGACGATAAGTGAGATTGACGATAAGTGAGATTGACGATAAGTGAGATTGACGATAAGTGAGATTGACGATAAGTGAGATTGACGATAAGTGAGATTGACGATAAGTGAGATTGACGATAAGTGAGATTGACGATAAGTGAGATTGACGATAAGTGAGATTGACGATAAGTGAGATTGACGATAAGTGAGATTGACGATAAGTGAGATTGACGATACGTGAGGTGAGATTGACGATAAGTGAGATTGACGATAAGTGAGATTGACGATAAGTGAGATTGACGATAAGTGAGATTGACGATAAGTGAGATTGACGATAAGTGAGATTGACGCTAAGTAAGATTGTCGATAAGTGAGATTGACGATAAGTGAGATTGACGATAAGTGAGATTGACGATAAGTGAGATTGACGATAAGTGAGATTGACGATAAGTGAGATTGACGATAAGTCAATCTCAGTGAACGACGACGACGACATCTTAGTGAGATTGACTAGATCTGACCTCGCTCAACTTGCCCAAAGATCCTCTTGTGGCAATTAATAATGCCATTTTGACTTCTGAGTCGACTCAAAAGTCAACTTGCCCAAAGTTCCCCTCGCGGCAATGAATAATGCCATTTTGACTTCTGAGTCGACTCAGAAGTCAACTTGCCCAAAGATCATTTTGCGGCAATGAATATTGCCATTTTGACTTCTGAGTCGACTCAACAGTCAAATTGCCCAAAGATCCTCTTGTGGCAATGAATATTGCCATTTTGTGGAATAAACTGACAAGTGCGTAGGTTTCCAAATGTCTTTCTGCTTTTCAAATACTATGCCTTTCTGTTTTTTCAAATGTGTAGGTTCCAGGTTCCCCCACCTACTTGGGACCTGGTCTATGCTCCCATGCTGCTGGGTCTGCTGGTGCTGCTGGTGGCAGTACTTCTGTCCACCGTGATTGCAGTGCTGGCTTGGAAAAGGAGAAATATTGAGGCGGATGTGAAGGAGATTCAGATATGCACGGCCATCTTGGAGCGAGCTGAGCGGTCCAAGAGTGAGGCGGTGGCCAACGTCTCTCATGAGCTGCGCACCCCAATCATTGGCATGATGGGTGAGCATGGCACGATGCCTGAGAGCATGGCATGATGGGTGGGTGTGAGAGCTTGGTATGGTGGGTCAGGGCATGGAATGGTGGGTGAGGGCATGGAATGATGGATGAGGGAATGTCATGGCAGTTTAGAGTGAGGTTGAGCAAAAACCTGAACAGCTGTTCGATTCGATTCAAACTTTGCCCCATAGCGTTCGACTTGAATTTGTTCATGTCCAGTTCGACTGAACGCACCTAGCCGCGTCGAACCGAACATGTTCGACAAGTTTTTCGTTGCTGTCGTGCTCGACTCCAGTCTCTTTCGAGGTCGGCAGAACCATTTTTACCAAGGCTTAGACAAGCACACGTGGCAACTAAGCCCATTCTGCCATACCTAGTAGCTGTTACTTACATTGAGGGTCAAACATCGAACATTGAATACTAAACAAAAAAAATGTTCTCCACGAACCGAACATGTTCGAATTATCCGTTTGTTCAGACCTGTTTGTGCGTTGTTGGTTTGTTCGAAAATGTTCAGGCAAACATGTTTGACTTCTCCACTTGCTCATGCCTAGCTTAGATCACACATGCTTGCATTGCACCAGACCAGTTGATCAAACTCTTATTTTGCCGATGTTCTGCTATTGTCCCCTTTTGGAATGCATACTCCTTTTCCCCCATAAGCATGATCGAGGAGTTGTTGGAGTCGCCATTGGAGGAGTGGCAGCGGGCAGACCTGGTGGATGCGAGGGCGTGTGCGAGAGACGGTGGAGCTCATCAACCGAGTGTTGGACCTCGCCAAGCTGCAGGCCGGCCGCCTGCAGCTCGAGACTCTCCCCTGCTGCCTGCGCCGCATCGTTCGTGAGGCAACTACATTCGCGCCAGGGAAGAATCTACCAGGTACAAATGTGCACTTGAGTCGCCCTTCTACTTACCGTTCAATTCTTTGTGTCTATCATGGTTTGATTTGTGTTGGTTTGTTGGTTGGTTTGTTGTTTTTGATGGATGCAGTGACAGTCCACGTGGATGACAGCGTTCCAGAAACTCTATTCGGGGATCCAACTCGGCTCTTGCAAGTCATGGCAGAAATTGTCGGTAAGTTGTTCGCTGCGCAAACATAAGGGCTGCTTCAATCAATTAGTAATCCATTTTACAGGCTGAATTGTTTGGTGCTTTCTTATTGAGGTTATAAGTTACCGCTGCACACACAGTACCTGAATATCTGTTTTGTTCCTTCAGACCGAGTCGTACCTCTTCTTTTAATCCCGTTGTTTGAGTCAAACCGGTTCGGGTTACACTTAGTTTGGTTAAACTGATCCAACTCGGTTCGATGCACGGGTGCCATGGTAGGAAAAAAAAAAATGAGAGTTACCTCTTTCTTACACTGTTCGAGTTGCTTTTCGAGCATTCTCGTGGTAGTTTAGGTGAAATTCTTTAGGTTTCTTCTCGCATGTTTCAGGGCTGAAATCACGGTTTTAGCTAAGTTACCTGTAGCGTGCACGTAGTAGGGTTCAAATTCACCCTACCTCCCCATCCCCCACCCTCCCCCCCCTTCCTCCCTTCACATGCTTCTCCCAAAATCACATACATAATAAAGGCAAGGTCGAACCAATGATAGCAGCTGCAATTTCTTCCACCCGTTCCAGAGTTGACTTTTGAGTCGACTCAAAAGCCTGCTGATAGCAGCTGCAGTTTCTTCCACCCATTACCGAGTTTACTTTTGAGTCGACTCAAAAGTCACCATGCTGATAGCAGCTGGAGTTTCTTCCACCCATTCCAGAGTTGACTTTTGAGTCGACTCAAAAGCCTGCTGATAGCAGCTGCAGTTTCTTCCACCCGTTCCAGAGTTGACTTTTGAGTCGACTCAAAAGCCTGCTGATAGCAGCTGCAGTTTCTTCCACCCATTCCAGAGTTGACTTTTGAGTCGACTCAAAAGCCTGCTGATAACAGCTGCAGTTTCTTCCACCCACTCCAGAATATTCCCTTCTGTGTCTCCCCCCTTCGCACACCCCTTCCCTACCCCACCCACCCCCCACCTCATCCTTCTCTCCTGCAGCAAGTGCCATGAACAACACTGCAACGGGCCACATAACCATCCGTGTTTCGTGCATCCCTCCTCCACACACCGCCAGCACGCCTCCTCCACCCGCTGCTGCCTCAGGCACCACACAAGCCTCCTCTGAGCCGCCCCCAGCAGCCTCAGCGTGGCATCAGCTGGCCGGCTGTGTGCGGCGCTTCCCTCCGCCCACCCGCCTGGTCTGCCACCCTCAGCAGCCCCTAGCCAGCCCAGGGGGGCCTGTGGGCAACAGGGGTGCACAGCCGTGTGGGCAGGTGTGCAGCAGAGACGGTGTAGGCAGTGCAGATGACAGTCAGGAAGGGGGTGGACTGTTGGAGGAGGAGGTGAGGGAGTGGGTGGAGGGGTCGTGTGCGGTGAGGGAGGAGGGCGAGTGGATGGTGGTGGTGGCGTGTGAAGACACGGGTGGTGGTATTCCACCCGAGGAGCTGTGGGGGTTGCTGGACCCACATGGCATGCATGGCAGCGGGCAACACAAAGTCATGGTGAGTGTGGTTTGTCGCTTCAGCTTGCACTGTTGTGCAAGTCAAACGGTTGTTTTGTTAGCAAAGCAATCTGAGTACAGGGGCTAAAATAAGGGATGTGATTTGGCAGTATTATATTTTGTCTCTCCTTTCACCACCGTGCACCGGTCCGCACCGGTCCGCTCCGGTCCGCTCCAAATGTCTTACATTCACGGGCATGCAAATCCGGTTCACCAAGCACTTGAATATTCTTGGCCTGCATCACCTGAAGCCACTCTAGTTTGACTTTCACATACTGGCATTGACGATTACCACTTGTGTGAGCACCTTGGTTCTCAAAATGGTTAACCTTGTGGTCAAGTACTGCGTTGCTTTGAAAGGGTGGGGTAGGAACAACGACATGTCAAAGACTTGTTGTCTATCTGTTCGGGCGATGTTGTTTCAAGGTGCAGACTCGGTATCAGGAGTTACTGGTTCAGGAGGGCTCACATAGTGGTACGAGCTGAGAGGGCAGCCACGAACTGACACAGGAGAGGATATACATTCACTGGGGAGGGCACACTCGTAAAGAGTTGTAATTGCTCTCACGGGAAAATTGCTGCTCGCATTTGACTTGTGAATCCTTCCTTTCCTTGGTTGCTAAATGGCAGGAGAGAATCCGGTCACTTGGGAGGGCCGAGTCGTGGAATTGCCTGGGGAGTTTTGAGTCGACTCAAAAGTCATTTGTTTGCAAGTCCCTGGTTCTGATTTGGCAGGAGAGAATACGGTCACTTGGAAGGGTGGAGTCATGGAAGGGCCTGGGGAGGGCAGAGTCATGGAAGGGGCTGGTGAGGTCGTCATCGTGGCTACAAAGGGAGCGCAGCACGTGGGATCCGTTGCAGCGCGATCGCAAGGCAGCTGCTGGCCCCCGCTGGACGCCCTACCCTGTTCGCTTCCTGCTCTCCACCTCCCTTGTGAGCTTCTGCTCTCCACCTCCCTTGTGAGCTTCTGCTCTCCACCTCCCTTGTGAGCTTCTGCTCTCCACCTCCCTTGTGATTTCCCTAGCACATCCGTAGGTCTGTAAACAAGTAGTCACAAGGTACTCGATAGATGGAGAAAATGGCCGAGGCAACGAGTATTTACCTCAAACGGAGTTGAGCAAGTCACCTCATTTTGAGCCGAGGAATTCTCGAGTCAAGAATTACGTCAACAGGTTGCCGCAATGCTCAACCATGGAGTGAATTGTTTTGCTTTTCGACACAAGGAATTCTCTGCTTGATGCTGTTTCTCTCAATCCATCAGCAACCCGATCACACAAGTATTCCACCATCCTCTCCCCGTCACACTTGATGGCCGCTTTGGCACTACGTTAGTCACTAGACACTAAGCTCGTTAAAGGTACCCCAAATTGGAGCATGGAGCGTGGCAAGTTCTTATTCGATTCGGATTTGCATTCGATGAGGACCAACTGTTCGGCCCATGGCACCCATCGCAATACGTTTGAAAGAATCTGTACCCTTAGTCGCTTCCTGCCCTCCTCCCGGTTAATTGTCGTACCCTTGCGTCTCTTTCTGCTTTCTCACAGGCTTGTTGTGTTCAGCCTTCTATTATTTCTAACTTGGCTGTATTCACAGTGGTCGTCTTCCTTTTATTCTTTCCCCTGCCACTCCTATCTCTCCGCATGGCATGGCAGGTGGCGGAGATGCGGGGGGGCATGGCAGTGCTGTCAGACGCCTCCACAGGCACCACCATTCTGCTGGCGCTGCCCATGGGGGGAGGGGAGCACGCCAGCCGCACGGGAGATGAGGAGCGGAGTAGGGAGGAATGCGGCGAGTCAGAAGGGGCTAGTGAGGAGCGTGTGGAGCGTGTGGAGGGGGGAAGCGGATCGCAGGAAGGCATGGAAGGGCCAGGCAGTGGTGCCACTGCGCAACCAGCAGCACCACAGCAGCGGCAGGCAGCAGGGGCACGAGCGTTGGTGCATGCGCACACGTTTCCGCAAGCAGAGGTGGAGCAGGCCGGGGCGGGCGTGGATGGTGCGGGGGAGGCGGAGCGGGTGGTGCGGGCGGTGGTGGCGGGGCGGCGGGTGGCGGTGGTGGATGACAACGCGGTGAACCGCATGGTGGCAAGGAGAACGCTGCAGGGCTACGGGGCGCACGTGCTGCTGCTGCCCTCCGGGGAGGAGGTGATCAAGACGCTCTCCTCTGCTCTTGAGGCGCCTCAACAGGCGCTCTTCTCTGCCCGTGACCCGCCTCAACAGGCGCCCTCCTCTGCCACGCCCTCCCCGCCCATCCACCTGCTGCTCCTCGACCTGCACATGCCGCCCGGCATCGACGGGTGAGTGACTTGTATTTCCATCTTCATTTCTTCGTTTTGTTGACATTTTTGGGCCGTCGGGTGCATCAGATTTGAAACGGCTCGTCGGCTGCGAGCCATGGAAGACGCACAGCAGAAGAAGGTTGAAGCAACTGCGGAGATTTGTGAATTAGCCAATACAAGTGTAGATGAAGCAGGCATGGCAACGAATGCACGCCTTCAGCGGCTTTGCATTATAGCATTGACTGCTGACCTGGATCCAGGGATTAAGAGAGCATGCTTAGAGGCGGGGGTGGATGGAGCAGTAAGGAAGCCGATAGTGGCACAGGAACTTGCTGCAGCACTCTCTGCTGCAGGGGTTGTACAAAGTTCTGAGTGTTAACAATCCATTCAATATGATGGGGTTGAAGCCCTACCTTCACCACCCCCCACCCACCCACCGCCCATGAATATAGAAAATGTAATAATAGCTAAGGTTCAGTAGTGATAAATGATAACACTACAATGGTAATGGTACAGTAGCAAAGAATGATCATTACTAAAAAATAATATTAATACAGTAGTAAAAGCCACGAGGGAATAGGTAGCTTCCCCTAAGGTAGAGCTTGAGCCTCGTATTGAATAAATTGAACAAACCCTGCAGCAGAGAGTGCTGCAGCAAGCTCTTGAGCAACTATCGGCTTCCTCACTGCTCCATCCATTCCCGCCTCCAAGCATGCTCTCTTAATCCCTGCATCCAAGTCTGCAGTCAACGCTATAATGCAAAGGCGCTGCCCGGATGCACATGTTACAGCGCTTGCATCATCTACACTCGTATCTGCTACGTCCCGTATTCCTGTACTCGCTTCCACTTTCATCTGAACCTTGTCCTCCATGGCCCGCACTTGACGAGCTGTTTCAAATCTGACGTAACCAGAAGGCCAATTGGGTGGTGATAAAAGGAACAAGGAAAGCCAAGCTGTTTCAAATGCGCGCAGAAAAGCACACCAATAAAAAGTGCAGTACGCAGGCGGAAGGTCATGCTCAGGACAAGAGAAACAAACCGCAAACAGAGACCAACCATGACAAGAACAGATTATTCAGATTGTTGTCACAAGAACATGAACACGTCAAAAGAAAGGTGAAGGAGAAGGGGAGCAAGGGACGGACCCATCGATGCCGGGCGGCATGTGCAGGTCGAGGAGCAGCAGGTGGATGGGCGGGGAGGGCGTGGCAGATGAGGGCGCCTGTTGAGGCGGGTCACGGGCAGAGAAGAGCGCCTGTTGAGGCGCCTCAAGAGCAGAGGAGAGCGTCTTGATCACCTCCTCCCCGGAGGGCAGCAGCAGCACGTGCGCCCCGTAGCCCTGCAGCGTTCTCCTTGCCACCATGCGGTTCACCGCGTTGTCATCCACCACCGCCACCCGCCGCCCCGCCACCACCGCCCGCACCACCCGCTCCGCCTCCCCAGCCCCCATGCCCCTCTCCAATTCTACTTGCGGACATGTGCGCGCCCGCACCAGTGCACGCACCCCTACTGCTGGCAGCTGCAATGGTGGCAAAGCTGGTTGCACCGTGGCAGCAGCAGCGTGACGCAGAGCCACAGCTCCACCAGCTGACCTATCCGTGCCTTCCTGCGATCCACTCTCTCGCTCCACAAGCTCCTCACCAGCCCCTTCTGTCTCGCCAAATTCCTCCCGATCCTCGTTCTCACCCCCAGTTCCCCTGCTGTTGCCGGCGTCCTCCCCTCCCCGCATGGGCAGCGCCAGCAGAATGGTGGTGCCTGTGGAGGCGTCTGACAGCACTGCCATGCCCCCCCGCATCTCCGCCACCTGGGGGAGAGATTAGAGGGGCAAGATAAGAAAGTAGGTCTGACAGCACTGCCATGCCCCCCCGCATCTCCGCCACCTGCAGGTAAGAAAGATAAGAGTGGGGTGCGGGAGTGATGATGTGAACAGCACTGCCATGCCCCCGGCATCTCCGCCACCTGCCATGCCATGCGGGGAGAAAAAGAAGAAGAGGGGGTGAGTGGGGTTGGGACAGGAAGAGAAGGGGGTGGGGAGTGATGAAGTGAACAGCACTGCTATGCCCCCCCGCATCTCCGCCACCTGCCATGCCATGCGGGGAGAAGAGCAAGGAGATGGAATGGGAGTGGGAAGGAGATGGGATGGGAGTGGGAAGATGGGATGGGGGAGTAACGAAGCAAAGAGAGGCAAGAAAGAAGGGGGAGAGAGGAATGTATGTAAGAGGAGAGGGGAGGCTGGAAGGTGATTCAAAGAAAGAGAAAAAAGGGAGGCGAGGTGGAGGGAAAGAGGGGGAAAGGGGGCAGGGGAGGGTGTAAAGGGATGGGAGTAGCGTGAAAAAGAGAGAGAGAATTGAACACAACGAACGAGTGAAGGAAAGTGGAACAAAACGTGCAACTCAGAGGGTCGACGGTGAGAAGGGGAGGAGTATGTACAGGTGTGACGACAATGATCTGGGAATTGCGGCACCACTTTGTTTCCAGATCATTGCGAGTGGTGCAAAAATTCTTACACGGCGAATAATTCCTGGATTGGGCTTTAGCTCTGCCTACCAAATAACATGCAAGAAACAAATTCATTCTCTACTGGCTTATTAATGTAGGAGCTCATAGGGGAGGTTGAGGCACTCACAAGGGAGGTGGAGAGCAGGAAGCGAACAGGGTAGGGCGTCCAGCGGGGACCAGCAGCTGCCTTGCGATCGCGCTGCAACGGATCCCACGTGCTGCGCTCCCGCCCCAAGCCCTTCCATGAGTCTGCCCTCCCCAGCGACCGTATTCTCTCCTGCCATATCACAACCCAAAAAAGAAGAATCTCGCAACTTAACCAAAGAAATGGGTAAACCAGACCAGGGAAATTACATCAGATTCAAGTGGTGGTTGGAAGAATCTGCAAGCTCAGTCACAGTTATAAATCCAAATACAAATCCACTGGAGGGACGGGTGTGGTGGGAGGTGGGTGGGGTGGGGAAGGGGTGTGAGAAGAGGGGAGACACAGAAGGGGATTATCTGGAATGCACCAGAGGCGGATGGCTATGCGGCCGGCTGCCGTGTTGTTCATGGCACTCGCTGGAGGGACGGGTGTGGTGGGAGGTGGGTGGGGTGGGGAAGGGGTGTGAGAAGAGGGGAGACACAGAAGGGGATAATCTGGAATGCACCAGAGGCGGATGGCTATGCGGCCGGCAGCCGTGTTGTTCATGGCACTCGCTGGAGGGACGGGTGTGGTGGGAGGTGGGTGGGGTGGGGAAGGGGTGTGAGAAGAGGGGAGACACAGAAGGGGATAATCTGGAATGCACCAGAGGCGGATGGCTATGCGGCCGGCTGCCGTGTTGTTCATGGCACTCGCTGGAGGGACGGGTGTGGTGGGAGGTGGGTGGGGTGGGGAAGGGGTGTGACAAGAGGGGAGACACAGAAGGGGATAATCTGAAATGCACCAGAGGCGGATGGCTATGCGGCCGGCTGCCGTGTTGTTCATGGCACTCGCTGGAGGGACGGGTGTGGTGGGAGGTGGGTGGGGTGGGGAAGGGGTGTGAGAAGAGGGGAGACACAGAAGGGGATAATCTGGAATGCACCAGAGGCGGATGGCTATGCGGCCGGCAGCCGTGTTGTTCATGGCACTCGCTGGAGGGACGGGTGTGGTGGGAGGTGGGTGGGGTGGGGAAGGGGTGTGAGAAGAGGGGAGACACAGAAGGGGATAATCTGGAATGCACCAGAGGCGGATGGCTATGCGGCCGGCTGCCGTGTTGTTCATGGCACTCGCTGGAGGGACGGGTGTGGTGGGAGGTGGGTGGGGTGGGGAAGGGGTGTGACAAGAGGGGAGACACAGAAGGGGATAATCTGAAATGCACCAGAGGCGGATGGCTATGCGGCCGGCTGCCGTGTTGTTCATGGCACTCGCTGCAGGGACGGGCTTGGTGGGGCCGGAGAGGGGGTGGAGAAGTGTGGGGGATGGCCAAGGAGGGGAGGGGGAATTGGGGAGGGGAGACACAGGAGGAGAAAAATCTGCAATGCATGGAAGAATATAGTCTTTCTAGTGGAAGATAGTAGAGTGGGAAGAAATAAAAAACTATGAACTGCGAAATATGCTAGGATGTCGAGAATATGTATGGAGGAACCAAACCGCAGCCGGCTGAGCTGGTTTGAGCAGGACCAGATCCATTCTCCTCAAACCATGAGGAGAACACTCGCAGTTGATTTTGAGGCCTATCAAGTGGTACACTCTGTAGTGAGAATCTGCACCACCTCCCTCATCAACCACCTCCCTCATTCCCCAGTTCCCCAGTCAGTTACCATGGGGTGAAAATGAAGCTCTCTAAATACTTGCTGGGTATGTCAGGACCCTAATGGTTGAAAAAGAACTACTAGACCCTTCTCCATTAGCTTGGATCTGTGACCTTTTCTTTAGGTCGGATGAGTTCTAATCGCGCTCTCTTTTGCCTGTACATGCTGATAACTGGAAAGCTGACGAAACGAAACGTACAGTGACAAAACGAAAGAGAGACCACAATATTGCATGCACGTCAAGAATTTACAAACCTGCCTGAGAAAGCACCAAACAGCTCTGTTAGAATAAATCGCTAGTTGCTTCACACATCCCCTTACACTTTTTGTAAGACTCACCGACAAGTTCTGCCAGGACTTGCAAGAGCCGAGTCGGATCGCCAAGCAGAGTTTCTGGAACGCTCTCATCCACATGGACTGTCACTGCATGTAACAACCAAAACCCACAAACAAGCAAAAAAATCAACTCACAATACACACGACTCGAAGGTCTTACAGTCAAAGAGAAGAGCGACTCCATGCACATCCATACCTTGCAGATTCTTCCCAGGTGCAATCGGGTCAGCAACTGTAGTCGCCTCGCGCACGATGAGGCGCAGGCAGCAGGGGAGAGTCTCGAGCTGCAGCCGGCCGGCCTGCAGCTTGGCGAGGTCCAACACTCGGTTGATGAGCTCCACTGTCTCGCCCGCACACGCCCTCGCCACCCGCAGGTCCTCATACTGCCACTCCTCCAGTGGTGAGTCCAACAATTCCTCTATCATGCCTGTGGGTGGTAAGGAGTGCGCATCTAAATCCAATAAGAGTGGAATTTGCAGCGATTTATTACTTTTTTCAAAACAGAGTAACAGTGCAATGTCATGACATGTCCCCCCATCATTGCCTCACCCATCATGTCATACATCATGTCATACTCTCTCTCACCCATCATGACATACTCTCTCTCACCCATCATGACATACTCTCTCTCACCCATCATGACATACTCTCTCTCACCCACCATGTCATACTCTCTCTCACCCGCCATGCCAAGCTCACACACCCGTCGTGCCAAGCTCACACACCCGTCGTGCCAAGCTCACGCACCCATCGTGCCAAGCTCACACACCCGTCGTGCCAAGCTCACACACCCGTCGTGCCAAGTTCACACACCCGTCGTGCCAAGCTCACACACCCGTCGTGCCAAGCTCACACACCTGTCGTGCCAAGCTCACACACCCGTCGTGCCAAGCTCACACACCCGTCGTGCCAAGCTCACACACCCGTCGTGCCAAGCTCACACACCCGTCGTGCCATGCTCACACACCCGTCGTGCCAAGCTCACACACCCGTCGTGCCAAGCTCACACACCCGTCGTGCCAAGCTCACACACCCGTCGTGCCAAGCTCACACACCCGTCGTGCCAAGCTCACACACCCGTCGTGCCATGCTCACACACCCGTCGTGCCAAGCTCACACACCCGTCGTGCCAAGCTCACACACCCGTCGTGCCAAGCTCACACACCCGTCGTGCCAAGCTCACACACCCGTCGTGCCAAGCTCACACACCCGTCGTGCCAAGCTCACACACCCGTCGTGCCAAGCTCACACACCCGTCGTGCCAAGCTCACACACCCGTCGTGCCAAGCTCACACACCCGTCGTGCCATGCTCACACACACCCGTCGTGCCAAGCTCACACACCCGTCGTGCCAAGCTCACACACCCGTCGTGCCAAGCTCACACACCCTTCGTGCCAAGCTCACACACCCGTCGTGCCAAGCTCACACACCCGTCGTGCCATTCCTTCGCCAACCATGCCATGCCCATGACCTCACCCATCATGCCAAGCATCTCACCCATCATGCCAAGCATCTCACCCATCATGCCAAGCATCTCACCCATCATGCCAAGCATCTCACCCATCATGCCAAGCATCTCACCCATCATGCCAAGCATCTCACCCATCATGCCAATCATCTCACCCATCATGCCAAGCATCTCACCCATCATGCCAAGCATCTCACCCATCATGCCAAGCATCTCACCCATCATGCCATGCTCCCGCCCATCATGCCATCCTATCCCTCACCCACCATACCAAGCTCTCACACTCACCCATCATGCCAATGATTGGGGTGCGCAGCTCATGCGACGTGCTGGCCACCGCCTCACTCTTGGACCGCTCAGCTCGTTCCAAGATGGCCGTGCACAGCTGAGTCTCCTCCACAGCCGCTTCTAAGTTCCTCTTCTTCCACGCCAGTACTGCGACCATGGTGGAGAGCAGCACTGCCACTAGCAGCACCAGCAGGCCCAGCAGCATAGGTGCATACACGAGGTCCCACGCAGGAGGGGGAACCTGAAACCTAAACACATAAAAAATGCAGAAGGAAAAGCTTTAGTAATCGGAAAGACATGGTACCCCTTTTACGAGATGGAACTATCTCTTCATGTACCAAAAGTTCACGAACAACAATTCGTTTTAAGACCATGACGTATATGTTACGTTCCACTGGGGCATTCATTGCGTTTGTGACTTTCGGCGAGATTCATTGCATGGTGCTTCCCAGTGCAGCCTCTTTGACGAAAGATCCCAACTGAGCGAGTGGCATCTTTTAATCCTCTGAAAGTTGCGGCAGACGATTACCAAATTTCTGGTGACGAACAACGTTGATCATATCACACGGTCAATACGGTTCGCATAAGGCAAGTGTTCGCTGGGGTTTTCCGATTCGGGCTTGTAAGGGTCCGGCAGGCTGTGACCCGAGGACCCGAAGGCGACTCTGAGCACGTTTAGGTCGAACACTCGGGTTTTCGACTTGTGTGGTCAAGTCAAACTTGGGTCAAAGAAAAAAATAATAAAATAAATAAAAAACCAACAAACAAACAAACTTGGCATGCACTGTTCAAGTTTTGGGGGTGTCTGAACCAAACATGCTTAAATTCGGCTTTGCTGATCCATACTTATACCTACTCATGCGCACAATCACACCCATGTTGGCAGCCCGCAGTGTATCCATACCCGCAGTGTGCTTCAAATGTGCGTCCAAGCATGCTCTCGGGGAAAGGCTCCACATGCTCGGGTGGGGCAACCGAAGGCGATGGCAGCACCAAGGAGAATCCAGACGCACTATCCAGTCGTGGCTCGTCTGGGCCGTATATCTGCTTCAGTACGCCTGCTTCTGTGTTGTCGTACATGGCAAATGAGTATGTGCTGCTCCCTGCAAAGTGGAGGGAAAGGAACAAGCAAGCCAAAGCGAGATTCGAAGAACAAACATGCCGAGCAAAGGGAAACAAAGAGCAAGAGCCATGGTAGCAACACATAGGGGAAGAAGAAGAAGAAGAAGAAGGAGAAGAAGAAGAAGAAGAAGAAGAAGAAGAAGAAGGAGGAGGAGGAGAG